TGAGTTGGGTATGTGTTGTGCATGTCACACGGATGGATCTCAATGGAGAAATGCTTTTTTGTTGCATTTGTACTCTGATATAAACAGAATGACAATAAACCTGATTTGAATTGAGTCATGTGCTCACACTGTACAACCCAGTTCTCAGATGCTACCTGACTGCTTACTCTGTACATCTGGTAGCAACACGTCTGACCTAACAATGTGCTAAAAATATGCTCAAAAAAGCTATTTTTACACAACATTTGTGTTGTTATTGATGTCTGTTGTGCTTTGGGGTTGTCGTGGAACAGCGGTCTTCGGGCCGGACCCCTCTTTGTGGCCCCCGAACCCCGCGCGCAACCCGCCATGTATTATTTACATGATAAATCAACGTTGTATCAGTTTAATTTGACATTAACACTGAAAACACACTTTCTTGACAATCCTTGTAATGGTCTGTGAAAAAAAAAGTGTATAAATAAAAACAAACATGTTAAAAGGGAAATAGCTGTCGAGCCGTGTTGACAAATGTTTGTGCATGCGCCGTGAGCGATTCTGGTACCTTTTGGGTCGTAGCTACTCTCAGTGACGCTTCAAAAGTGCGATACCCTCACGAGGGACGAGCAAAATATCAAACATGCCAGAAATTCATGCGAGCTTACAATTGCTCATCGGTAGCTAGTCACGTGGTGTTAATTGCCTCTAGCAACCCTTGTATACTACACGACGCTCAGCGCAAAACTCGCCCTGATCTTGTAGATTCTTACACAAAAGGACAATTGTCTCAAGAGCGTGAAAGAGTGGTACAGTGTCCGCTCAGCTCAAGACCGCACACCCCATAAGTCAGTTTTTTATCCATGGGGTCTCTGGCATATGTTTAATCTTGGGATTTATATGCTACTATGTATGATAGAACTGGAGACCAGGAAACCAGATGATGGGGATCATTCAGTGCTATAAAAATGCAGCAGATGAAAGACAAAAAATCAAGAAGAATTAAGAATCTTACCGTGAAATTTTTTGGGTCTTTCACAATGTCCTTGATGTTCTTTAGTGTCACATCCCCAAGTGCTTCTGGTAAACTCTCCATCAAACTCTGAAGCGCCGCTTTATAGAAGGACTGTGCACGCTTCAGGAAGCCAATCATGTCCCTTTCACCTCCGTTCAGACCCATGGCCCACATGAGGTCTGTGGTCTGAGAACCAATGTTCACCTCGGCTAAAGGCAGGAGGTCCTTCTCACTGCTGAGCAGCTGCAAATCCTGCCTCCACAGAAAGCCACTGACAGCAGAGGAGCGGAGAATGCTGGCTGCATAGGACTGAAGCAGAATGGACGTGAGCTGAAGCTCAACAGCCAGGTCTTTGGTGCCGGCCTCCTGCAGCTCCTGGAGAGCTTTGAGGGGCTCCAGAGCGTGACACAGGAAGAGAAAATGCAGTCTGACATTCTCATCCATGAGCCGCATTCTGATCTGGTTAGTAACCTCCGTTTGTTTCAGGGATTGAAAATAGTCCAGCAGATCCTGCCAGCGGGCAACCATCTTCTGCACACTGTGTGTGACGAACGAACACTGCGTTGAGATGGGACAGAGGGGGTTGTAGGACTGAGTGTTAGCAAAGACCTCCTTCAGGCTGTCGTTAATGGAAGTGCAGGTGGAGTAATGATGATGGATGTCCAGGATCAAGTCAACCACGTGAGTAAATGAAGCTGTGAGTGCAGCCTGGGAGGCTCTTGCTGCAATTCCGGGGATGCTGCAGAGTGATATCACATTTGGGCTGAACGTCTGGAGCCCAGACACACACATCTCGCCCAGCTGGGGCTCGCTGCAGTAAAACACAGCCATGTTGGAAAGTGGAAGCTCCAGTTTTTCTAGCGTCCGAATCAAAAGGCAGGCATCAGAACGAGCTGCACGCGTGACTGCGTCTGTGTCTCCGGAGACCTGTGGATAAGCGGTGTCGGTGCTTATCTGCAGAGTGTGCAGCAGCTTCACTACACTCCTACCCGAGCTTTGGTCAAAATAACTAATGAGCACAAAGCTGGTGCTGTGCCCTTCATCCACCTGCACTCCCACGTACAGGTACAGGCAGAAAGGCGTGTTGGAAACAGCCTGCACAATCTCTTTTGGATCAGGTGAGTAGACGTGAGTACCACAGCATCTTCTGATAAAGCCCACTAAATCACAGTGGCCATGATGATCTCCAGCATTCTCCATGTCCACACCTGGTTTGGCTGCCGTCAGATTCTGCTGTTTCTGAAAACACTCATCCTCCTTAGCATTCTCCGTCTGCTCCAGAGAGACACACACAATGTCCTCTTCATCTTCTGATATCAAAGATATCACAGATACATTTTGGCTGAGGTTAGTGAGTGATTGGTTCCTTGCTGGTTCTTCTGGTGTTCTGCGATCCATCTCCACAGTGAAACTCACTCGTGCCTTGAGAATAAACACATTTAAATGTTAAAAGGGTTGAAAATATAAAGCCTGGTTTGTACTTCTTCGCCCACGTGGGTGCCTAGACACACAACTAGGGGTGGGTACTGAAGTTTGGTAACTCTTTGGTACCGACCGAAAGCATGCGGCAGGTACTGGTTTTGAAAAAGATCACATTTCTGTGCTACATTTTGGTAATTTTCCAATAAAATGTTCCTGTGACTGTGCTGCTCTATTGCAGCTTCACGTGACGCACGGAGGAGACGAGCTTGTTTACTCGCACACAGCCCCCTCCTCTCCTTTTAACACTGCTGCAGACTAAATGAGTTACGGGTTGAACCAAGCCCCCACAATGCGGGTGAAAAATTGAAGCAAACGCGGAAATGAAATAAATTGCAGTTCCACCCTCATCCACTAGGGGCTGGTGTCAGAAGCGAGCAAATCCTCATTGACTCCCATGTTACAAATACCAATTTCACAGCAGAAATAAACATGTTTACAGCCTGGTACCAGAACATGTTTTAGGTTTAAATGATCTAGTTTATTAAAAGTAGGACTGCACGATATTAGGAAAACCTGCGATATTCGATAACAGTGCTTAATATTGCGATATCGATATTACTCACGGTAAATTAACAAATTACAGCTGAAACAACTAATCGATTTAATCGATTATAATCGATTATTAAAATAGTTAACAACTTTTTTAGTCATCGATTGGTTGTTTAAGGGTTCAGATGCAATGTATTCACTGGCAGGGTAATATTCCAAATAAAAATTGAATGTTAGTTTAATTGTAACATTAATATGTTGTTGGACATGCTGGTCAACTTGGTTAGAATAAATATTAATGAAAAATGAAATTATTAATTTTTACTTATGTGAGAAATGAAAATGACGTGAAGAATCGATCATGACCATTTTTTAAACTGTCGGTCAAAATGAAAACAAACATGTCTAGCTAACCTCTGATGTAGGTAATGTTACCTGCTTGTAACTTATATTGATAATAACTTGTTTAATTAAGGCTCATCCAGAAAATAAAACCTGGTGGAGTCGTGTTTCTGGACGGCTAACTTTTACTCTAACTTGATCATAAATATGTTAAAGTAGTGCTACGTTGACTCAAGTGATTGATTTTCAGCAGTAATGAAACTTCTGAGCTCCATTAGTTTCCTCTGAGGTCTTAGGGATCTACAATGTCGACTGTAGAGTTTTTGAAGATACTATCCTCCTTCAGAAGTTTATTCCTGTAAGGGTCAGGGACGCATTCATCCTTGTTCTTTTTATCCATCCTTTTGATTCTTCTTCCACTTCAGCTTCCCCTAGCAACTTAAGTCATACACCTACAATAGTGATAAGGGGGTGTGGTTGACATGCAGGTCACGTGTCTGACAAGGACCAATTCCAGTTGTGTGAACATGCTGATCAGCTCAGCTATGAAAGAAAGCAAACACAGATATGACGTGTTTGAAAGATCGAATCATGTATTATAATCGCAGCTGTAAAACAATTAAAATAACAGTCTTGGCCAGCTATTTATTTACCCTAGCTGTACTTAAACTGGATGTTACTGAGCGGACCTGAATGCAACTTTTCATATGCACTGCTGCCGTTCCAGGAAAACGTCACTCTTCTTTGACCAATCAGAGCAGAACGACTCCCGTTCCGACCAATGGGAGCAAAGGAAGCCCTTTTACAAATGTGGTCGAAAACACGAGGTAGAAGTAGTTCCAAGTACCTGAAGCCCGTAAGGGTGGAGGGAAGAAACAAAAGCACGAGGACAAAGAGCGAGCAGTTTCACGCTCCCAGACTGCGTGCGTACCTCCAACGTTTACTAACACGCATGTCAGTCAAAGGTTACGGCCCGTTTCTGTTCAGTTTAACGGTGATAGTTTGTTCAGTTTAATTGTTTGCTTGTTTCTAAAAGATCACCGTTTCGTACACTAAACTAAAACGTGTTTTTACATTTGTTCACAACGAAGAAAATTACGTAAACCTTACTTCCAAACGTAGCGTTTCTTTGAAAATGTGGTTTTGGTGACTTTGTAAAGCAGAAACAGAGTCAGTAATTTGTCTATGCTAATGCACAACAAGCTAAAACGAGCACGCGCCTGTAAACACGTTCTCATACGACGCAGGTCACAGGGGTGATACGTAACTTTAACGTTGATTAGTTTTAGTACATCAAAAGCCTTCTGAATTTTACTTAAACTAGATGAAACTGGTCTCAAAACAGTGCGAAACTTACCCGTGCGGAGTCTGCCGACCCTTCCACTTACTAAACACCGACTGTTCACACCCCGCCCGGGCCCGGACCGAAGCTCCGCCCCCAGTGGCTGTCGCGCTTCCGGTTCAAGGTTAAATCGAGAGGGTATCGCACCATTTTCAGGCCGACTGTTTTTTTTTTTGAGACAGCACCGCCCACTGTTTGATATCGTTCCAAGATGGAGGACGATCAGTGCGTGAGTACAGCCTGCCTTACAGAAAGAAGAAGAGTGAGTAATGAATGTGAAGCACAATTGTTCACTAGTATCAAAGTATCTTTTCTACCGAACTTTCAAAACTAAATTTAATTGTCGGGTTAAGTTTGACAGCAAAATGAACGTTTTCTTGTGTTTAGTTTAAAGTGAGTTGATGCGTTTATCACCACATGTAACGCTAAGCTAAGTTAGCTCGTAGCTTAGCCTACATGTGGTGATAAACGCTAACGTAGTAGTAAAAACTAAAGCCTAATTTATACTTCTCCGTCAGCTCTAAAAGGGAGATGCACACGCACGGACGGAGACGTTTTGCCCTCATGCTTCATCTCCTGGGTAGTGTTGCAAAAAAATTCCCCGCCAGGACAACAGAGGGCGTATCCTGTCATTTATCCGGTTTATATTGTTTGTTTGTTTTTTTATATAAGAGACTTTTTATCACAGACAAATTTGTCTCTCATTCTCCTCCACCTCTTCATGCGCTCGCCACCTCTAAACCAACATTTCCTGTCATTTCCGTCCACAAATAAAACGCTTGCTGCGCATCTTCTCACTCCTCCAGTCACCGGGGAATTAAACGTTCATATTTTTAGAGTTTTTCGCGAGGTATTCTTCAAGCTTCTCCGTGTCTGCCTCTAGATAGCCTAGTTTCTCTTTATGTTTTTGAAGGCGCAATGGTGGCGGTGTAGAAGACAGCAGTGCCCTGACCAATCACAAGCTTGTGTTCTCTGTCTCGACAGACGGATGTTTAGAAAAGAGAGCTCGACTCCATCCATCCTTGCGAGGGCTCTCCGGCAGGCTCGCAAGGACGGATAATTGCGTTGCGTGCCAACGTCCTGAAGCAGACGGAGAAGTATAATTTAAGCCTAACTTAAGCCTAATTTATACTTCTGCGTCGGCACGCAGTGAGGTTCAGCGGACGTGAAGACCACAGTAACCCAAAGAGGTGCAGTTCCCTTTGAATTCAGATTTCTAGGCCAGCCAAGAGGTGCAACCAGGGTCTGCAGGTTAAAATGTCTGTCTGAGGTGCTGAGTGGCTCTTGAAAGAGCCATTGTGTCTGCTATTACTCACAAGCATTGTGAAGAGGCTTTGACCTTGGGGTCAAAGGAGATGACGGTCTGTAAATGCTTATTCACCCGATTGGCCTTATCAAGTGAACAGTGAAGACTGAGGAATCAGGAAGTGATTCCTGTTTTTATCAATTTTTGTTTAAAAACTTAGACAAATCAGAATTTGACATGTTAAAAAGGTGTTACCAAAATACCTCAGAAATCACGCCTTCAGCAAATCCTCATTGACTCCCATGTTAAAAATACCAATTTCACAGCAGAAATAAACATGTTTACAGCCTGGTACCAGAACATGTTTTAGGTTTAAATGATCTAGTTTACACTCATGACAACTCTGAGGGGGGTGAATTTTTTTCTCACTCTTCTGTTTAAGTGTATTAAAAGCCTAAAATTCTGTATAATTAATGAGCATCAGACCCACGTGACCACAGAGCTAGCTCCGTGGAAAGGCCTCAGTAGAGCCTCGGTCTGGCCTGGAAACTGCTCCGGGATTTTGAGTCTCTGTGTGTGTGTGTTCTTGTTTTGGATATTATTTGTGCAATTGTTGGACAAAATGACTTGCTGTGGCATTAATTGCACTAATAGAGCGTCCAAGGAGTCTCCACTTCATTGTTTTCGGTAAGTAAAATTATATTTATGTATTTTAGGTCACTGCCGAGCTGAGCTTAGATTTTAACATGTACTGTTTAACCGTGAGATTTAAATGTAATAGGGTAAAACCCAGTGCATTTAACATAATGCTGCACTTTAGAAAATGGGTTGAAATATAACATGTTGGTGGAGCTGGGTTCCAACCAGTGTTGCTAGATGTACGATAATTATCGTATTTGTACCATAATTTTGGGCTCTGTACGATGTACGATCAATAGTTTCAAAAATCCTCAAATGTACGATAATTTCACATTGCATCTAGTAACACCATCTTTTGCTGTGGCTTTCCCAAGTCAATTACATGATTTTAAACTGTTCTGAAGTCAGATTTCACCTCAGTGCTTACAGGTTTATGCTATTGTGTCTATTACAAAAACTGACTCTGGATCTGTACTATAAATAGCCCAATCACATCGATAGGGCCTACTCTCGCGAGAAACTGTACGGTTATATAATGTGGCAGTGGCCCGCCAGTTTTTGCTGTTTGCCTGCGAGCGCCGCCGACCGAGTTAAGTCTAATCTAGGATGACAGAGCGACGAGACAATGGCTTCTAATCTTAAAAGAAAAACCAGAGAAGGGACGGATGAAGGTAAATCAAAGCAACACCGGACACAAGTTTATCGTTCTGCGTGGGAGTTGGACCCTATTTTCAAAGGATGGCTTGCACCTGTTACGGGGAACGATACCGAGGCTTTCTGTCGTTGCTGCAACATCCAGATGGAATCAGAAATCACCGTTCTCAAGAATCACGCAAAGGGAGCTAAACTCAAAGAAAGGGTAAAATGCATTGCGCCAAACCAGACATCTACACTTAAAAGTCTCCTACAAACTAATGAAAAAGAGAAGTTTGAAAATGATGTGAAAACGCTGAAATCAAGCTATGTGGCTTTTTAGCCGAGCACAACATTGCAATGAGAAGCACAGACCACTGAGTACAGGTGATTAAAGGCATTCTGCTGCGACAGACAGTGAATCAGATGAGGAGATCGAGATCAGCAACTAGGTGAGTAGGCTGCTTTGTCATTTATTGGGTCAGTTTTTCCACTGCTGTGATGTTTTGTCGCGTACTTTTAACCTATGTAGAAATGAAATAAAGTGGACTGCGCAAATGTGCATATTGTGTCAATGCGTGGAGGTCGGAGTGGTGCCGACACACTCTGCACGTTTATAGGCATTATATTACTGGTTTTAAAGATGTTTATTTAAACAGGGCAATATAAAACACCTTCTTTGTTATATTATATTGGAGTGAGAAGTCGTTTATAGAACGTTATTATCAAATTTATAATGTACGATAATTTGTACTGAAAAACTATAATTTAAGCCTCTCCGTACGATATTGTGGGATTTTGGATCTGGCAACACTGGTTCCAACTATCGGCTTGTGGAGCTCTCGGGAGACCGATGTTTTCTACCCGGTTCTCCCCTCCTCACAGCTCGGTGCATCTCTGTCTGATCGTGGCTTCTGTGTGCTGCGGCGGGCTACCAGCCTGTGGAGCTCTGGGATGGAAACCTTTCCACCCGGTTCTCCCCAGCGGCAGCTCTGCACATCTCAGATCGCAGCGGCGCTTGTCTGCTGTGCGGCTGCCGGCTTGTGGAGCTCTCGGAGACCTCTGTGTTCCACCCGGTTTTACCCAGCGGTCAGCCCGGCGTATCTCTGACTCAGAAGCTCTGGTGTTGTGCACAGTTAACTCCGGTTGTAGCTAGGTTGCTACCTCCTTTAGCTTAGCTCCCACCTCCGCATTAGCTTTGGGTTAGCTTGGAGCTAGTTCGACTGGGTGTCATCAGTTGATCCCAGCCTTACAGCCCCACCCTCAGCTCCACCTCTCTTCCTTTTTGTGGAATTGTCTGGGCTTGACGGAACCTGTGACAGGGTCAGAATGGCGGTGGTGGCCACCTCCCATTTCTCTTCAAAAATGGTCTATGGAAACCCATTGTCCATATATGTTTGTCGATGTGAAATACACAAACTGCTCTACAGACTTGAATGTGGCGGTGATTTTAGTTGTGCTTTGTTCTGCCATGACATGACACTGATTTAACTAGACCATAGCACGGTCACCAGATCCACACCGAGACCATCAGCAACATTGCAGTAGGATTTATTAAACAAGCAGTTCTTTCTGGTACGTTGCATATTTGGATGATGACATACCGTTGTGTTGTTTGGCCCCAATTTCCTCACATTTCTAAGTAACTGAAGTCCTGCACTGCTGCTCTGGGGTTCATCCAACTTCAGTCCATCCCTTTTTAACACCACCCAGGCTAAACGTGTTACTGATACCATGATTCAAATTGAATTTAAAATGTGTAAAATATTGTAATGGCTTCTCATTTAGTTGAAATGTATTTTTTTAAAGTAACTAATGAATCCTCTTATGAATTATATAAATGGAAACCGCATTCCCTCGCCCGGACGTGGGTCACCGGGGCCCCCCTCTGGAGCCAGGCCTGGAGGTGGGGCACGTTGGCGAGCGCCTGGTGGCCGGGCTTTCACCCATGGATCCCGGCCGGGTACAACCCGAAGAGGAAACGTGGGTCCCCCTTCCCATGAGCTCGCCCCTCGTGGGAGGGGCCAAAGGGGTCAGGTGCAGTGTGTGACGGGTGGTAGTCGAGGGCGGGGACCTTGGCGGTCTGATACTCAGCTACAGAAGCTGGCTCTTGGCACATGGAATGTCACCTCTCTGGTGGGGAAGGAGCTTGAGTTGGTGTGTGAGGTTGAGAGGTTCCAACTAGATATAGTTGGACTCACCTCAATGCATGGCTCTGGAACCAAGTTTCCTTTAGAGGGGTTGGACTTTCTACACCTCTGGAGTTGCCCCCACTGAGAGGCGCTGAGCAGGGGTGGGCATACTAGTTGTCCCCCATCTTGGTGCCTGTACGTTGGGGTTTACCCCAGTGAATGAGAGGGTAGCCTCCCTCCACCTACGTGTGGGGCGACGGTTTGTGACTGTGGTCTGTGCTTATGCAGCAAACTACAGTTCAGACTACCCACCCTTTTTGGAGACTTTGGAGGGGGTGCTGGAACGCACTCCTGGTGACTCCCTCGTTCTGTTGCTCACGTGGGCAACAACAGTGAGACCTGGAGAGGTGTGGTTGGTCTGCAGTGATGCGGGCGTTGTACCGGTCTGTCGTGGTGAAGAGAGAGCTGAGTCAGAAGGCGAAGCTCTCGATTTATTAGTTGATCTACGTTCCTATCCTCACCTATGGTCATGAGCTTTGGGTAGGGACCGAAAGGAGATGGCGGATACAAGCGGCCGAAATGAGTTTTCTCCGCAGGGTGGCTGGGCTCTCCCTTAGAGATAGGATGAGAAGCTCGGTCATTCTGGAGGGGCTCGGAGTAGACCCGCTGCTCCTCCACATCGAGAGAAGCCAGTTGAGGTGGCTCGGGCATCTGGTCAGGATGCCTCCTGGACGCCTCCTTGGTGAGGTTTTCCGGGCACGTCCAACCGGGAGGAGACCTAAAGGTAGACCCAGGACACGGTGGAGGGACTGGAGGTACTATGTCTCTCACCTGGCCAGGGAACGCCTTGGGATTCCACCGGAGGAGCTGGCCCAAGTGGCTGGGAAGAGGGAAGTCTGGGCCTCTAGCCTTAAGCTACTGCTCCCGCGACCCGACTCCAGATAACCCCAAAATTCCACTACCTCCGCTCCCGCAGCCGCTCGCTTCCAAACTCAATTTTTACTGGTACCCGCTCTACAACGGCTCCGCTCCGGTGCGGAGACCTGAGGTGGGCAAACAAGCATGCGCGGGATTTTCGAGATCTTGCGATACAGTCCGAGTAATAAACGCGGAAGTTATATCCAAACACCCGTTGTGTGGGAGAAGCATCGGCATGAACTGTTTAATCTGCCCATCATTTGTGTTGAGAGATCAGCAGTGTTTGGATCAACAAAGTGTGACTACTTTGATAGTGGAAACTGTGTTTATGGCTTACTTTTGTGCATTTAAACTTCAGCCGCCATTGATAGTTAAAAGTTGTTAAACCTGTGCATATGAAACAAAAAACGCTTTTTGTTTATCGATTTATTGTGAAAAACGGAAGTTGTGCTTGCTCCTTTTCCTGTTGGGCGGTTGTGATTCCTGTCCATTGACTGCGGAGGTGCTCCGGCGTCCGGCAAAAATAGGATCGATTCTATTTTTGCCGGACGCCGGAACAGAGGGCGGCGCACTGCGCCGCACTGCCGGAGCACGGCCGCAGTAGTGGAATTGCTTTAATGACTACAACGGGACAGATTTTGCTGCGGAGTTCGTGCCGGAGCGGAGGTAGTGGAATTTGGGGGTAAGCGGATGAAAATGGATGGATGGATGGCAACTAATAAATCCAAACAGAAAACAAAGTCATTTACTCATTTTAATGTATAAAAAAATACTTTTCTGCGCAAAGAGACAATCGGTTCCTATCTGCAGAGCAAACGAGGAACCAAAACAATAGTGACCACCAAATAATGACAGGTGGAGCAAAACAAGATGAGGTAAATAGCACAATTTACAATTAATCATGCCCCAAATTCACAACAACAATCATCAATACAGTTACAAAAAATATTCAACAAGAAAACAGACCTATTATACAAGGCAAAGTTCACCTAACAGGATTATTCTGTGTTCTCTACCATAATTAGACCTCTGTACACTAAAGCTGCACGTTGTCCTGCCGATGCATCATCAGCAGCACATCTACAGTGCACAGTATCATGAACACACTATCTGACCACCAGGCAGGAGACACACAGTTTAGAGGGTCCAATGCAATCGTCATGGCAAAAGGCACCACAGCCTTGGCACATGATCATGGCTTTCAGACGACACGAACACTTGAGAGCCACTTCCTCAGCGGCGTTCTCCGTGAAGGCCTGAATGCTGAGAGTAGTATGGCTAGAGGTGAGGCGGGGGCGGAGCTGGAGTACACTGTCAGCTACTCCCCGAGGAAAACCACCATTGTCCATCATGGACACGTTAGCCGTGTAGCTTACTCCAAGATTTCCACTCTGTTTGGGGACTTTTCCATACAGCTGGAAGGGAAGGGAAGATGCAGAGGAGGGCGAGGAAGAGGGAGAGCTGGACGAACAGGAAGCTTTGTTGTGCTCTTTCTTTGCTATTCGTGCCAAAGTAATTTCCATATTCAGGAGGCCCTCCATTGCACCTCCACTCAAATATCCATCCATACAGTTCACAGGTTCCTTTTTGGTGCCATTGAAAGGCAAAATGGGGAGGGATTTGGCAAGAGCCTGGCAGGAAGGTCTTGCACCACCTTCATTCTTTACTGTAGGAGGAGACTGGTGTGGATGAAAGTGGGGGGGCTGTGACTGTGGGGGTCGCATATTTATCTTTGTCATCATGGCACTCTCAGCCGGATGAGGCTCTATGCAGGTAGGTGAGGGGGTAGTGGGCACAGTCTGATATGCTGACTGAAGCCTGTCTGGAGTAACTTTCTGAGGAGACTGATGACCATGAGAGTCATTAGCAGGTGCAGGTTCCACAACAGCTCGAGAACCAACGTCCGACTTACTGCTTCTGGATAACAAGGAAGTAGAAGATGGTGGCAATGAGGTGATAACAGGAACAGCCCCAGAAGCCTGTTGGGGCAGGTTCACAGATGCATCTGATGTTTCCAGGAGAAAAGACACTGAAGGACCTGTTGGGGACCTTGTGATAGGAGACAAGTTTGTACTAGAAAACTGGACAGAGAACTCATGCTTGTTGTGAGGCCCCAGGTTCCTTGTTGCTGGTGGTCTGATCTGGGACCCTGGCAATCGGCTAATCTCCAGCCTATTGGCAGAGTGAGCGGGGAGAACTTTCTCCAGGGGCAGGCTGCCCTGGAGCAGCTGTGTCACCAAAGGGTTGTTGGCCTCTACAGTGGACACAGGTCTCACTGTGCTTGTCAGTTTTTTAGAGGCAGCAGCAGTGTTTAGGTGTGAGACACCAGACATCTCATGACACCTCTCTTCAGCGGAGTTTGGTGTAGAGGTTCGACAGTCTTCTGTAATTTCTATTTTGACCACTACGTTGTTTTCTCTGAGCCCGTGTGGAGAGGCAGCAGGAAGAAAGTGATGGTCTGAGGAGAAAGGGCAACCGTGCTGCTGAGGCAGACCATTGGGGTAGCAGGGTGCAACGACTGTCTGGCCTTGGTGACTGGACACCAGGGCCTGAATGACAGGCTGTTGGTTTGGAGAGGGAGGGCTACATATGACTAACTGTCCATGTTGGTGGGAACGCCAGTGTGGGTCAGTGTAATTTTGCTGCTCATCTTCCTGGCTGTCATTCTCACAGTCTGAAGCGGTTTCTGTAGAGTCACTGTGAGTGTCAGCCTCCTCATCCTTCTCCCTGCAGTCATTCAGCATCTCAACACGTTTGGTAGATGAGTCATCTGTCAGCTGTCTTGCTGAATGAGAAATTCCTTCACAGAGATCCCTGTGGTGAAAACTGTGCTGGATGATACCCCCAACTTCAGCCACATTTGCCTTTTCAAGTTCTTTGGTCTGACATGAATTAGCCAGTGTCTGAATAACGTCCACGCCCTGAGCCCCAAACCTAGGAAGGGAATCTGGAATAGAAGTTTGGGTCAGTGAAGGTTTTTCACAACTTTGGTGAACAATAGCAAACTTGGGGAGCTGGCTTTCCTTATCGGTCGACTCAGAGGCCAGTACCACAGATCCCGAGTCCGGCTCTGGGGAGGCCATACCAGTACTGTCAGCAAATCCACCAGAGGGGGTCTGAACTGCTGTTGACTTTTCTTCGATATCGTCTCCAACCTTGAGCAACTTGGTAGAACTATCTTGCAAAGGACTTAAGGTCTGTGGAGACTCCAAGGACGTGGATGTAGATGTGTTGGACAATGAAGGAGAAGGGTGAGAGCCGACTTCTACACTGAGAAGCTGTAGTTGTGTTCCAAATGAATTAGGGCCTGAAGGTGATTCCTGCTCCTCCATCTCACTACTTCTTCTTCTTCCATCTCCTCCTCCGGGCTCGATAGGTCCTGGATGCTCTCTTGTTCGTCGTCCATTGCTGCTATCCGGTAACCCAGCAGCAGGCTGCAGCCGGACACTGGTCGGCCCTGGCCCTTCGCTAGAGGCTGCAACAGCAGCAGCGGCTTCGCGCTGGGCACGGGCTTGCTGGGCACGGGCTTTGATGTCTGCCAAAGTCCGCGCCCCCCCCGTCCCCGACCTACGCGAGCCCTCGCCGGGGGGCACGATCCGGGGACAGATTTGGTAGGTGGGGTGCCCTTTGACCCAGGGAGGTTTGATTCTGGATAGTTGAATCTAAGACAGAAAAAAAATGCAACTAATCAGTTACACTTCATGTACAAAGAGTTAGTATGGCAGGTCTTAGTTTAAGCAACATGGTCTTACCCGGATAGGTGGCACCTTGGGTTCTTCGGTTGTCGGCTGTGGTTTTTCCGTACTGACACCGTCAATTGTGGTACGAAAGGACTGACGGCTGTCAAGTCGCGCCCTTTTGACGGGAAAGCTAGAGAGAGCCTCGGTTTCGTCTTGCCTTCTCTTCTGCTCGTTGAGCTCAGTGCTGAGAGCCAGAGTGGTAGCTGGACTGGCTGATGGACTGCTTTCACGGCTGCTGGTACCAGTTCCCCCGGTGACTGAGGTAATCACAGAGGCTGTGTCGTCTAGAGGATCAGCAGGAACTGTAGCACTGGAAGAGCCTGAAGATGATGAAGAGTCCAAAGCTGCAGCAAAAGCTCCCTGTTGTTCAGACGAAGAGGGCGATGAAGCAGGTGAGGATGTGGATGAAGACGATGAGGTAGAGGAGGAAGAAGAGGATGGTGAGGTGGTGGAACCTGACACAGCTGCCGTTTCCTTGGGGAGGAGGCTTGGAGTAACTTCAGGCTCATAATTTGCACTGGTGGATGCTGGACTGGGACTGGGAGCAGGGGAAGGGGAAGGGGCTGGCAGCATGACTGGTTCTGGGGTGGGAGGAGCCACTGGCTCTTTAGAGGCACTCTCAACAGGGGACTCCACACCACAGTCCGTTTGGAGAATTACCTCTCCTTGGATCACCGTGTTGCTGGACACGGACGAGTCTATGGTGACAGCTGCTATGTCCAACACATCACCCGTCTCAGCTGCTTCTGTGGACGGCAGCGCTGGAGCGGCCTTGCAGAGTGTCCGACGTGCTCTGCGACGCAGGTCAGCCCGTGTGCGTTTTCTCATCCTGCCATCCCTTCTTCGACGACCCACACTGCGTCTTTTAGGGGCACTAGTTGCCACCACATTAACATCGCTGTCCAGTGCTACTTCAGCAGCTTCGCTCATCGTGAGCTTCAGGGACTCCTCTTGTGTGAGGCCAGACCTGCAGACACAGAAGGGATGCACTGTAGATGACACTAAAGAGCCATAATACACAAAGAAACAATGATACCAACCTACTGGACCACCACAAAGTCTCAGGAGCGCAAACGCGCATTACAGCTGTTATTCTGGTGCGCATTATTTATTTTAACAATGCATGCACACCTGCAGACCACTTATGAGCACCCCCTGCTATAAAGCATTTACTCATGCTTTGTCATCCTCCTTCTCACCTTGGATGTTCAATTTTAAATATGTGAATCAGTATAATGTGGTTTTATTTTTTTATTTTTAATAGTTTTTATGAGTATGTGACTATTTCTGCCCATGTTGTTTTATTATGTGCAGTGCTTGAGTCGGTTGTCATGCCATGTTAAAAGTGCCCTATACATAAAGTGTATGGCCTTTGAGAAGCCCGACATAGGTGAGGTTCAGTCACATGACACAAAAACACAGAAAGCTTGAATCTGGATGAATTTGGCAAATCTTACTTTTCTCCATGGTATTCCTCAAAAAACTTCTCCTTCCACACCTCCACCTTCTTCTCCTTCTCCATTTCCTGTCGAAAGCGGGCTTGCATCTCATGAGTGAACTCACCTATGAAGTTAAACAAATTTGTGTTTTGAACATGTAGTTCCACAATTCACCTTTCAACAGAGTGGGGCTGTTCTGATGGTTTAGGATAGGACCACTATTAGTCATGGTTCAGATGGTCCTCCGCTCCAACAAACTTTAGTTGATTAACAGATTCATGAAGAAATTTAGGGCATGATGAACACATAACTGAACCATTGGACACCACTGAGAGTTTTGGGTCAAACTCTGCATGCACCGTGACCCAGATGGATGCGGTTAGTTTGGAAAGCCTTTTCCAACAGCACAGTTCAGTGTTTTCCCCTAAACCTTCAGTACCTGCTTTGTTGTGGTTCCTGGCATGCCAACTAAGGTTGGGCAATATATAAAAATTGCTGGGCAATATTTGTCGGTCTAAAATAGAGACTTTGGGTGATTTATTCCCACAAGTAACGTTTAAACTGTCTGTGGGCCTGACACACCGGATGGAGCACTCCACCAATCACAATTACTTAGTTTGTGGAAGCAAGCCACGAAGGTTTCACGTGACAGTTTGTGTTTTCTAAATTTCAATTTTAGACTACTGTAACTCTCTTTTCACGTGTCTGAGCCAAGCCCCCACAATGCGGCTCTAAAATTGCAGTTCCACCCTCATCCACTAGGGGCTGGTGTCAGAAGCGAGCAAATCCTCATTGACCCCATGTTAAAAATACCAATTTCACAGCAGAAATAAACATGTTTACAGCCTGGTACCAGAACATGTTTTAGGTTTAAATGATCTAGTTTACACTCATGACAACTCTGAGGGGGGTGAATGTTTTTCTCACTCTTCTGTTTAAGTGTATTAAAAGCCTAAAATTCTGTATAATTAATGAGCATCAGACCCACGTGACCACAGAGCTAGCTCCGGGGAAAGGCCTCAGTAGAGCCTCGGTCTGGCCTGGAAACTGTTCCGGGATTTTGAGTCTCTGTGTGTGTGTGTATTCTTGTTTGGATATTATTTGTGCAATTGTTGGACAAAATGACTTGCTGTGGCATTAATTGCACTAATAGAGCGTCAAAGGAGTCTCCACTTCATGTTTTTCGGTAAGTAAAATTATATTTATGTATTTTAGGTCACTGCCGAGCTGAGCTTAGATTTTAACATGTACTGTTTAACCATGAAATTTAAATGTAATAGAGTAAAACCCAGTGCATTTAACATAATGCTGCACTTTAGAAAATGGGTTGAAATATAACATGTTGGTGGAGCTGGGTTCCCACTATCGGCTTGTGGAGCTCTCGGGAGACCGATGTTTTCCACCCGGAATGCCGGCTGTTTCTTCCCGCAGCTCGGCGCATCTCTGTCTGATCGTGGCTTCTGTGTGCTGCGGCGGGCTGCCGGCTTGTGGAGCTCTGGGATGGAAACCTTTCCACCCGGTTCTCCCCAGCGGCAGCTCTGCGCATCTCAGATCGCAGCGGCGCTTGTCTGCTGTGCGGCTGCCGGCTTGTGGAGGTCTCGGAGACCTCTGTGTTCCACCCGGTTTTACCCAGCGGTCAGCCCGGCGTATCTCTGACTCAGAAGCTCTGGTGTTGTGCACAGTTAACTCCGGTTGTAGCTAGGTTGCTACCTCCGTTAGCTTAGCTCCCACCTCCGCGTTAGCTTTGGATTAGCTTGTAGCTAGTTCGACCGGTTGTCGTCAGTTGATCCCAGCCTTACAGCCCCACCCTCAGCTCCTCCTCTCTTCCCTTTTATGGAATTGTCTGGGCTTGACGGAACCTGTGACACGGTCAAAATGGCGGTGGTGGCCACCTCCCATTTTAGCACAAAAACGTGTTATTGGAGCCTATGGAAACCCATTGTCCATATATGTATGTCGATGGTCTGAGCAGAACCTCCCTGAACCGTCTACAGGTGGTTCAGAACGCCTGTGCTCGGCTTCTGACCAAGTCCTCCAAACACACCCACATCACCCCGCTTCTCCAGCTTCACTGGCTGCCAGTCAACTTCAGGGTTCATTTCAAGATCCTGGTTCTGGTCTATAGGGCCTTACATGGATGGTGATCTTCTCAGTCCCTACACCCCCAGCAGGTCCCTGAGGTCCAGTGACTAAAGCCTACTGGTTGTGCAGCACCAGGCTAAAGGTCAAAGGTGACAGATCATCTGCTGCTGTGGCCCCCAGACTCTGGACCTCTCTCCCCCTGAGCCTGAGATCAGTGGACTCAGAGGTCTCCTTCAAAAAGCAGCTGAAGACTCACTTGTTCAAGCTGGCTTTTGTATGACCTTCTTCACCTCTCTCTCTTTATTCTGCTCTCCCACCTATTCCACCTTCCTCAGGATCCACTGGTTTCCCTCTTTCCTGTTCACTCTCTCTCTTTCTTAACATTTTTTATCACAATTGTCACTTTTTTGCTCATTTTAAATATATTTGTAATCATGTGAGCATCACAGTAAACCAGTGGAGCAAACTGAGCTTTAAATATTTAGGTTTTCTGCTCCAAAACATGAAAGTTAACAGGTGAGAAATTGCATTTTCATTTAAGATAAAATGGTATTTATATTTTGTTGTTGGCCCGTGACTTCGTCCCAGGTTTTCATTTCTGAGTTTGACACCCCTGCTGTAAACAATGAATTGAGTGGTTTGACAGTGTACTTTTAAATGATGTGTAATATTTGTATGTAAATGGACCAAGTGCTGCAAAAAAGATGCAGATTTGATGAAGGGAAATGTCCCATCTGCTAGACTAATTCAAAGGCATAAATAAATACTGCTCATTAAAAAAAAGATTGGCAAAGGGCTTGGCTAATCAGTGATAGACTAGTAATTTGTTTAATCCCCCAACCCTAGAGATGACCCGGTCACAAACGCTACAACGGTCACAACTGGCTAGTGTGTGGAGTCACTGGTTGCTGCAGAGCTTTCTGCCTGCAGCTGCTTCTCGGTTCAGAGTCTGACAAAAAGCCATCGACTAATCAGAATGTTCAACATCACCATTGTTGTTTTTCTGTGTAGTATACAGGTACTTTTGTCCTGAACGAAGGTCGTAAGTGCTGCGGTTCTCAAACTGGGTAAAGGTAGCTGCTTGTACCCACAGTGCTGAGGCTCCTGATGGTGAGGTCCACATTAGTGATTAAAGATTAGCAGACATGTTCATGCTCCATTACTCACTCACCCTCGGCCAGCCTTTCCTTCCAGCTCTGGGAAGCGTGGGTGAAGAACTCATTATTGAGAGCTGAGCTGCTGAGTCTGGCCATGCCATCAGGTCCAATCTACAATCAGAGACGGCACAGAGCAGGTCATACGTTAGGGGACTGGGACAATCAGAAATGAATGGCTGGAGCCAGAAAAGATGACATCATTGGCCTCTCACTAAAGTCTAGTTTGTGCTTCTGCGTTTGTGCTGGTACGAAGGCACGCAACGCCATTACCCGTCCTTCTGAGGGCTCTACAGCTGGCTCGCAATGACAGAGTCGAGCCCACTTTTCTCAACATCCACCAAACGAGACAGACCACAAGCTTGTGATTGGTCAGGACTCTGCTTTTGTCTACAGCACCACCACTGCCCCCTCAAAAACATAAAGAGGGCGACAGATATCTAGCGGCAGACACGGAGCAGCTTGAAGAAAACCTGCAGAAAAACTAAAAATATGAACATTTGATTCCCCGTGACTGGAGGAGTGATTCAATGGAACTGACGGGAAACGTGGGCTTAGAGGTAGCGAATGCATGCAGAAGTGGAGGAGAATGAGAGACAAGTGTGTCTGTTAAGTTTCTGAAATACAAAATACACAATATTAAATACACTACTTCGGACCAGACACATGAGAGGGTACCACAGAACAGCACTGCACCCTCTGCTGTCCTGGCGGGGAATTGCTTTGCAACGCTCTTCAGGAGACCTGAGTCCGACAGCAAAGCGTTGGTTAATGTGTCTCCCTTGCGGATTTGACGCAGAAGCATAAACCAGGCTTACATAAAAATAGTCATTAAAAAACTTCTTACACAAAGGTCAAGCAAACACGTCTTCTTTCAGATTTATGGGTTTTTTAAATATATAAACTCTGTTATGGTTACACTGCTCTGGAAATTTAAGTCAAAACACCGAGCCTTTCAGGTCGGATGTTTACATCTACAAATGCAGCAGGAGGAAACACGGTCCACACCTTTAAACACCAGCAAGTACAACCCCCTAAATCCATAGGATTATAGATACAGCTGATCTGAGATCAATAACAGCTGTTTTGATTCCACTGTAGGGTCTGCTCTTCTTTGGAAACTCAGGATACACCTGAGAAGGATCAAAAGTTTCCTGGAGAGGACCCCTATGGCTCTCCGGAACAAACCCTGGTCTGGTTCTGGTGGAACGTCCTGGCCAGTAACCTTTGGATCAACAGCTGAAAACACAGAAGAGTAACGGTCCTGCTGCAGCCCCATGGATGGGTCTAGCCAGGACAAACTAGGCGATGAAGACCAGATACCTGTCGGTCCACCTCTGGTAGCAAATGCAGGAGCTGCTGCTGAGAGTGCGATGGGAAGGCTGAGAAGGTCCGCACGTTGATCAGAGCTCTGATGTTGGTGTTCACCAGGATGGAACCAGGAGTCTCGAAGTCCACGTCAACCCCTCCTCGACTTCTCTTCATGTGTCCTGCAACAGAAACAAAGGGTTCCCCTGAGAGAAGCCAGTGTGATGGTGGAGCAGACACAAACCAGAGGCATGTGGTCCACAAGGGACAGACTCGGTCCATTCAGTAGAACAGGACATATGACCCGACTCCGGAGAAGCGGATGAAAATGGATGGACAAATAACAGATTTACACGTAAGTAGTTTAAATAGAGTGCTGTGCTGTTTGAATGTATAAACTGAACACCAAGAGGAATCACTAGTCTGATTGTTTTCCATGAATAAAATAAAAATGTCAGCAGGAGCGTCTCAGGATCTGCCTGAGTTCTGTCTCGGTGAGACAGATAACAGCAATCCAAAGTGCTTTTTATGTGTGATCTGACAATTGATCAACCATTGCTTAAAATGAAATACAGCTTAGCCGGTTAATTGCTGTGATCATAAAACACGTAAACGGCAGCACGCAGAACTCACGAGGCAACGTTTACTTGTTGCTATAAGTAATAAGACAGAAAAAGCCACGCCAAAATAAGTTTAGGAAGCCCACTAAGAATCGTAATAAAAGCATTTAAAATAAATACCATACACAGGTGAGGAAACATTGGTTTAAGTACCTGATATGAAGCGGTCGCTGCATAAGTGAAAACCTTTACTCTCCGGATCCCACAGCTTCATTTTAGCCCGGTCACTAGCGCGTTTTATTACAATGATCTAATGTTTGCGACATTCTGGATCTTGGAGAGTCCTGTAGATGGCTCATTCCTTATGTCGTCCGTGTCTGTTCTGCATCCTGGGGCACAACAGGAATCTACCATATTTCCTGTTTGATTGAGTTTTCTGACAATAACAAATAGTCCAGCTGCCGGCTTCTACCTGCCAATATGGGGCCGTTTCGATTTGAACTGTTGCATGCTGGGAGACGTGACGTCAACTCCCGGAGCTCTATAGTCCCAAAAGTCGGAATCTGTTTGCTTCCTTTAAAGGGATATTCCACCCAAATTTAAATTTGTCTGTTGACTTATTTCCTAGTTATATAAGTGGGAAAAATTATTTGCAACCAGCCCAGTCATTCTCCTGACCCAGCTGTACTCCTTTAGCTTTAGCGTAGCATAAAACACTGAGAATGGATCCAACTAGCATTGAGTAAAAAACGTGCCTAAAATCACTCAGTGGTGATCCCAGCTCTGCTCGGTGGCCTAAATAACCAGACGGACAGAGGTGAAAATACTCCGTAACATACAGGAAAACTTGGAATTACTTTGTGAAAAAGAACAGCTGTACGTCTGCTGAAAGTGTCAAGGCAGCCCCAAACACAGCTTATGCTGACAAAAAAGTAACCAAGTAACTTTTACTTTGAGTACATTTTATTTAAGATACTTTTACTTGTACTTGAGTAAAATATTATCCAAGTATTGGTACTTGTATTTAAGTAGGAAATGTTAGTACTCTTAGCACCTCTGACCAAAGCCTACAGGTTGTGCAGCACCAGGCTAAAGGTCAAAGGTCATCTGCTGCTGTGGCCCCCAGACTCTGGACCTCTCCCCCTGAGCCTGAGATCAGTGGACTCAGTGGTCTCCTTTAAACTCACCTGTTCAGGCTTTGGTGGGACCTTTGGTTGATTCTTCCTCACTACCTTCTGTTAATGATGCTCTCTGTACCAATTTTACCTTTCTCAGGATCCTGTGTTACCTTTCTAGATTTTTGGCCTCCACAGTTTTCAGTTTGGTAATTTTTTTTAAATATTCCTTTAGGGCACGAATCTAGCGTCTTTGGGAGACGCCATGTTTCTTTCTGGCTGTCTTGGGATCCTACGCCTGTCGATGACATCACACTAAATGATTGGCTGTACGTACGACTTACAAAAGTTACATAACCATGCTCAAAACCATTTAGGCAGAAAGAAACATGAATGCAATAACAAAACTGCTAAAATCTTTCTTAAACCTACGTGAAAGAACAGAATTGAAAAAGAGATGCAATATATTTTGACCGAGCGGTATTGCCATAGTGCAATGATGTCATTGGCAGGCACAAGCCCCCGAGCACATCTGAGTAAATACAACGGCTGAAAACTACAATCAGCAATGCAGTTTCTCATGGAATTACCTGAAGGACCATCAAAGTCTGAGGAGCCACGCCACGGTTGCATGCTTTCTGCTCCACAGGTAACATCTACTGTAATGTTTTCTAGTGACATGTATATATGTATATATACACACATAAACACACACACACACACACAGACACACACACACTTTTTTACTTATTTTTGTTCTTGTGAAATGCCTCGTGATTTTATCTTGAGGCACTATATAAAATATTGTTTCTTCTTCTTTATCTCTAAGATAATTTAACTTAGAGCAGTAATGGTTTTGTTGCTCAGACAATCCAGATCCTGCACCCACAGCAGGGATCTGATCCGACCTCATGAAGGTTCTTCTACAGAACCAGACCAGCATCACTTACTTATTTCTGTTGGATTATCTGACCAAATACCAATATTCTTTTAAAATCACAAGCAGACGAAGATCACCAAGTAAAATGAAAACGGAAGTTGTCAAGAGGCTAGACTAAAACATTCCGGTGGTTCCAGCACAGTAGGACGGGTCACCTGAGGGGACGTGCTCTCCGTTCACTTTGAGAGGAGTGAGGACAACCCGAGGCATCATCACAGCCTTCTTTCTTGTTCTTCCTGACTGTGGAAGAGCACAAATAATGTTTACCAGAATGAAGTACAGAGCTAAATACTTATTTTCTACATCATAATACAAATGATTTAAAAGTCATTAAATGTGATTTCCTTGATTTTTGATATCTTCTCTCAGTTGAAGTGAACCAATGATGAAAATTACAGATGTCAGCTTTTTAAAGCTGCTTTCTGGAGTTCCCCCCGTTCAGAAAGTATGTATGATTTTTCAGAAATCCGTAAAAGTGATTATCTCATCATGTACTGTGATATAATATAAGCAATATGTTGTTTTTTTTGCTAACCACGCCCCCTGCCCCGCAGAGCTCCATTCAATGGAAACTGAGCGCCGACCAGAACTAACCAATAGCATTAGACTACCGCTTATTTGCTTTAAATTTAACGAATACCTTGGTTGATGCAGAGTTGATGAACTTTTCATGGACAAGAAAGTCTCTAAAATATAAATATATGAAAACACAACATGGCATGAGAATAATACTCGTAAAACAGCGTGTTTTAGCTCCGTTTGTCGGCTAAGAAGCACATTTATAAACAGAAACGTGAAGTTGTGACCTTAAACAGGGGAATTGACTTTTTGTCTGATATGCTTGTCAGCCACTAGATGGTGCCTTCAGATAAGAGAAATACTCCGGAAAGAATCTTTAAGAGGGGTACTTGCACAAACGGTGGCTGCCAAATACCGTACATAAGACATGGTCAGTGATTGGCAGCCAGGCCTTCTTGTAAGCCTTCTGAATGGTCTAGGCACTGGAAGAACCATACATACTTAGAGAAGGGTACCGTAATCAGTACTTTTTAAAGGCACCAGCTGAATTCTTTGGTACCGACCAACGACAGATTCGCGTGATATGAAACGGTGCATTGTTTCGGTACCATAGAGTTTGGAACCCGATTTCCCGTGATAGCCTGCAGTGCGTTATGTCGTCCGTCGCTGCGGGCCAGCTGTAAACAGAACAAGCAGCGTGGTAGAAAGAATGCGCTCTAAAGTTCGGGTCCACTTCAGCGAATGTGATGGGTGACCATGACAACATCGACACTGTTCCATGTGAGTTACCATCGTCTTAATCTGCTCCAGCAAGTAAAAAAACTGATTAAGATAATGTTAGCTTGATAGTTAAGTACCAGTATCTATGTTTCCTAGGTACCAGGAAATAGTACCGAATTGATTCAAATGTGAAAGGTACCTAGCCCTCAAGATATTACATGGTTATTTAAAGCACATTTCATAATTTGTCAGAATATTTTCAGATGTTTACTTGTGTTTTACAATAATTAGTAGTTGTTTTTTTGATCCAAGGTGGTCCGTACACTTGAGTAAACACAAGCCACAAAGCAACAACAAAAGTAAGTACCACGGCGGTGGTAAAACAATAAAAATAAAGGCCCAGCAGGAGGAAACGACCTGGAGGAGAGGCTGCTGGTGACAATCTACAGAGCCTCCATAGAGAGCATCCTAGCGTACGGCACCTCAGCATGGTATGCAGGTGCTCAGCTGCAGACAGGAAAGTACTGCAGAGGGTCATCAGCACAGCCCAGAAGATCACCAGCTGCTCTCTGTCCAGCCTGGAGGACATTACCTCAGTAGAGCAGGCAACACCACCCCAGTAACCACCTGTCGGAACGGTTACCGTCAGGCTGACCGTACAGGTCACATACGACCAGGACAAGTAGATTCAGGGACAGCTTCCACCGTAGTAACAACCACAAAACCAGGTGAACCCGTAAACCTGAACCACACATTCACTGTTTCAAGACTGATCAGGTGCACTAACATTTATAAGTGCTATTTGTGTTTACTCACTATGCTAAAACTCTGTTTACAATAGTGACCTGCACATTACCCAGCGGATGCTGCTACAATATCAGACCAGCCAACCATGTCAAAATCTTTTGAGTACCACTTGTGCGGCATTAATTATTTTTTACATACAAGTCTGTTACTTTCAACACTGTAATTTCCCTATTCACTGGCTGGCTTTTATTTACCCAGTATGTCATTTAGTCAGTGGAAAAACGGCTTTTTGCATAATTGGTGCTAAAACCAATAAAAGACACGTGTGAATGACGGGAACCTGACATTACACCATAACTAGTCTGTGTTATTGGAGGATTTAACAGAGCGTACACTCTGGAGGGAACGCGTTCTCCGTGAGCAGAGGAAAGCAAAGGAAATCTTTCTGCTATGCTGGGATTTGGGATCCTTTGTGGGGCGACACAAACCTCATAAATCCGATTCCAGCTCATGTTTTATTTTACAACTATCAGAACCCCTCAGAACCTCCTCCACTCCCCGATCATACATGCCGCATTGCCATGGTAACCAAATAGCTGTGGCTGCACTCTCAGAAAACATTTCCAAATAAAACTAACTCCAAACAGAATGACTCCCTAATGTAAATGAGAACCTGTTACTCTACGATTTATAAAATCCATTTTTTATTCATTACTGACAGGAACCTCATGTGGTTTTTGGCACTTCGGCAGCCTGTGTTTCAATCTCGTTGTCAAGAAAGTTTCTCTTTTTTTCAGAAAACGGAAAAAAAAATCACAGGGAATCCCCTCACATGCTGAGGACGCAGCGTGACCAAATATGGTTAACTCATTCACTGCCATTGACGAATAAATTTGTCAATTTTTTTTTACTGTGTGGGTGTCGGAACGAGCCCCCGCACCGTGAGAACAAACAACTCAGCTCTAAAGTCGATCTTCGTCACGTGATCAGGAAGCAGAAATCCATGTGTTAGGAGATCGTTTTGGGCCGCTGCTGTAAAAAAACAAGTGAGGCGCGAACCGGAAAAGCTTCTGGCGATCACAATACAACAACGGATTATGAAAGAACGGATAACGCTCGAAACGTGCGGATTCTTCCTGATGTAAGAGGTGAGTCTCTGCTTTGTTTTGCTAGTGTTGGCGTCGACATCATCCTAGCGCGCAACGTTCTGTCACTCTTAAAAAAACAGTAAAAACTGTGAGAAACACTGGCAGCGAAGGGCTTTACTGATCAGGAATCGGCTGGCAGTGAATTACCGTAAATTCTCTAATACAGGCCCGGGCCTGTATTTGACTCAAGCTCCAGGCCTTTATTGGAAGGAGGACCAGAATTAGAGGCAGGCCTCAATTTCTATTTGAGAAAAATGAACTAATGGTTCGCTGGAGTTTGACAATTAAAATTGCGCCCACATTTTCAAAGTTAATCACATTTCTTTTAACAATGATAGTTTCTGCTTCAGCCCTCTCCCCCCTCCCCCTGCCTCAGCCCTCTCCCCCCCTCCCCCTGCTTCAGTCCTCTCCCCCCTCCCCCTGCTTCGGTCCTCTCCCCCCTCCCCCTGCTTCAGTCCTCTCCCCCCTCCCCCTGCTTCAGTCCTCTCCCCCTCCCCCTGCTTCAATCCTCTGCTTCAGTCCTCTCCCCCCTCCCCCTGCTTCAGTCCTCTCCCCCCTCCCCCTGCTTCAATCCTCTCCCCCCTCCCCCTGCTTCAGTCCTCTCCCCCCTCCCCCTGCTTCAGCCCTCTCCCCCCTCCCCCTGCGCAGCGGCCGCAAACTCACTGATGCACCTGCAGCCTCTCGGAGTTCCTGCTGCTCTAAACATTAAAATAATTATTTCATTTTCTGTTCCTCACTTCTGATTAGCTTCAGTGGTGTCTGTTTGTTGCAACCAGCAGGTACAAAAACTAACTTGTTTTTATTTGACTATTTTTCTGTCCTGCCTGTTTATTATCTTCCTGCATCTCCTCTCAATCCTAAAGAGAAACTGCTACCTGGCTTCATATATATTCACCTCATGAGTTACCTTTGAACTGCAGTTCTAAAATATCTACCGACCGCTAAAACAGCGGGGTGCTCACCGGCCGCACCGGTGAGGTGCGTCACCGAGGACAAAACAGGTGATGCGCCCTGATCCACAGCAGCGAAACACATCAGGCACAAATAAAAGAATAAAAGACAGAAAACATAAAAGGAAATGAGCCGACATGAATGATCGCGTGTTAAATTAGTTTTTGAGGTGGCGACACCTGATTTGATAATGTTACTGTGGCCGTGCTCAGGACGCAGATGTCTGGAGCGCGTCAACAATCAGAGCTTTGCATGCGCAAGCTGGTTAAGGTTAGGATGGGGGTGAGGGGAAGGTTAAATTGCAAGAGGGAAAAGGTCACAATTCGGTTAAATGTCCGTTTTACGGCGGGTGTCAGTACCGACGCTCTGGCACAGCGCGTTGCCTCCAGACACGCAGGAGCTCGTCACCTGCTGACAGCAGGCTGCTGTCTTTTCTGTGGACTGCATCTTGCCGGTCATGATCACGTGACAGCGACTAGTCGATGACAGGCATAACAAGTCACTATAGAGCGGTGAAGTCGACTAGTGACTAGTTCATACAACCCCTGCTACTGCTCCCCAGAGTGTTCTGCAGCATAATCAGCACGTTCTCTTTGGACTTGATATCAAATTTTCGCCTCCTCTTCGTCTCCGCACGGTTAAAGTTACCCTCGCAGTCTATCACTGGCAAATCAAAAGTGAGACGATGACACAACCGCCCCCCGTACTTGCTTGTTACCACATTCCACCCGGCCACAATAAAAAAACGGCCATTATTCACCTCCGACGACTCAGACACCGGCCAAAATATGATACCCGGCAGTTAATTGAATACAGGCTAATATTAGAGGATTTACGGTAGTTAATTGAGGGAGTTTTTCTATGCAAATGTCTGTCAACAGGCACAAGCACCTGAGTACGCACAAGTGGGAATTATCAACAGCTGATTGTTGAGGAACATGCGTACGAGATGTCACCGTGTGTTTCACAAATCAGTCTTTTGACTGTTCGTACGAACATTCTAAAATCCATTCCTAGGATTGAAGATAGGAACGTTTCTACGAATGTTTGATTAATGAGGCCCCTGGTTTGAAGAGTCTAGGTGTTGTAGTTTACAGCTGGACCAGATCTATGGTGGACCAGATGAAACTTGTCTATTTTTCAACTGTAACAAATCAAATAAAGGCTTCACAAACTATGTTTTATGGACTCTACTATTAGTTTAAAATAATCTAGTTAAGTTCTGAATACTCTACCAAGAACACGCTTATTTTCCAATGGGGGAAACCATTCTTTTAGGTTTTGTGTGAAAATAAGTCCAGAACTACAAATGTTCTTCACAAAAGTGATGTAATCGAACCAGACACGGAGCAAAACAGAAGGAAAAAGGCAGTAAGTTCAGCGAACTTCAAATCCTTCCATCAGGAGGGAAGAACCACCATAAATCTGGCCATGTTGTAAGTAGCAGCTAATGACTGGCATGGTCAAAACACATCACTAGTTTTAATTTAAGCATAAATACAACATATATGTGATCCAGGGTCCAAGGCTAAGCGATTAGAAAATAGCCCTTTTAGCACCGTTGACTTGCTTTCATTTTTTCATTCTTCCGGGAACCCATGAGCCGACCAGAAAGGGAGGAGACTTGGGCTCCCTGCTGAGCCTTTTATAACAAGAGTCTGACATTTCAGCCTCATAATTTTGTTGCTTTATTTAATATTTTAAGCAGCAGACCATGGTCTCCTGAAACATGTCAACATGGAACATTCGATTAATCAGAAGATTCAACAGAATATTCAAATACTAAAATATCCAATAGCTGCAGTCCTATTTTAAACCAGAATGAAAAACAAACCAACACAAAAACACAACCTGCACCAAACCGAGGTACGCCTGAGAAGGGAAAAGTCTATAAATACAAAACAGTGGTGTTGTACTTGAACAAGTTTATTTAACAATCATTCGTAAACTTTTTGTTTGGTGAACGTAACCCAAACTCGCACATAATTTGCCTGATGAATATTAAAGTGAGCTCTCATTCTGGCGTGTGAACGGGTTTATGAATGGAGCTCTACCACAGTTAGAGAGCTCCAGATCTCCACAGAGCTAAAGCCTTAGCTAAAACATCCAATTAACCCTAGAGTTTATAAGAAGTGGACCACGAAAATGTAACTATCATGCACAGTAGCCATCGGCGTCTACTCTTCTACTGAGAGGGTGCAGGTCAATCCAGAGACACCAAACACGGAGCCAAGTATGCCAAAGTTTGCCTTCAAGAGAAACAACAAATAGTCAAACAATTAAAAGACAAACTGCGATGGCAGCAGTATGCGTTCACAAAAGCCAAAGCCAAAAACAATGCAGCAGTGAGAGCTAGTTTTACTGTGGCTGAAGAAATTGTCCGCACTTTTGTAAAGCATTCATATTCATTTTATGTGTACTTCTGGTTGCTCTGGTTTTACTTTTGAGTGAAATAAATTTAAGAAAATTCAAGTTTATCATGACTTTGGCCTCGTCTGATCAGTTTGCTGCCTGACACTGAAGGGCGGCACATAGGAGGCACTTGAGCAGTGCATTAATCACAGCATGTTACAGTCAGGTCCATAAATATTGGGACATGGACACAATGCTAACATTTTTGGCTCTATACACCACCACAATGGATATCAAATAAAACGAACAAGATGTGCTTTAACTGCAGACTGGCCGCTTTTATTTGAGGGTATATCATACATTTTTCAGCACGCCACTTGATAGTGAGACTGCTACCCGTTAGCTTTAGCATTAGCCGATCTGCGTGTAGCTGCACTTTTGATCCCAAACTATGGACCGGTTCTGCCTTTGCTGGTTCCTTCATTTTCCTCCACTGCATCCAGATGACCACACTGTGCGCCAGTAAAAAGCTTTTTTCTTACACGTAACTTACTTTTGTTCAATAAAGTTCTGGGGAAAATAGTAATTCAAAGATGTTGCACCAGTGCTACGTTTAAAAATAGACAGACACACACAGACAGGTACAGCCCTGCTCTGATACGGAAGAGCCTGGGGGAAAATCAGGACGACAATAGCACCAACCATAGATATGTACCAACTAGCGAGAAAAGCAATTTTTCATCTTTTTCTGCAGCGGTTTTAGTGCTTTTCGATGCACCGCTGCTGATACAGCACCCTGTAGTGGTGCAACGCTGCAACTGCAGTTAAAATAACATCCATATAGCTGGGGCAGAGTGAAATCAGGCTGGGGCGGCACAAAATTAGCTGGAGGCGGCCGCCACGCACATTTGAACGCAGGTAAACCCTAAACTTGTTTAAATATTTTTCTTTATATATTTTTTTAATAATTTGATTGTTGAGCAGTGGAGTAATGTGGGTTTCTTCACCTGACAAATTTGACTATATTTATGTTAAAGTTGCTTTATTGAGCAACAAGTAAACAATTTTTAAATGCACAGTAATATTTATAAATTGAATGAGTAATAAATACATTTGACTATATGTTATAAAGTAGTAGCATTTATTTTACATTATATTTGGTTACATTTATAATGTTTTACAGTTACATGTGGCCCTTTGAGGGCAACCATTAGGCTAACGTGGCCCTTAGTGAAAATGAGTTTGACACCCCTGGATTAGAGCAACATTAAAGCAGATGTGATCAGAGAAACATTAGTGGTTTGGTGCACAGTGCTGACCTGTCTGGAACGGCTCAACCGGGTCTGGGCGTGTTGGGTCTGCTGTCCATCTGAACGGTTCTGTTGTCCTGCTGTCCTGCTGAGACGAGTCTGCGGCTGAGTGCTGGGAGTCTGCAGCTGAGAGGAGCAGGACGCATTGGACGAACTCTCATCCACCGACACTTTAGGTCAGGAAAACAACAACCACTTAATACAAATGCCAACAGGAATATGGTTTATCCAGTTTTAAAGTCTGAGTACATTTCAAGTCCTAAAAGGCTCTGGTACCATCAGAATGCCTGGTTCTGATGAATAAATGTGAGTCGTTATCAAGATCTGAGTCAGTCTGGACTTTAACAGAGCTCTGGTGGTACCAAATGTAACTGATAACTAATGGTAACCAGTGGTAAGTTAGAGTAACCAGTGGAAACTAGATGTAACTGGTAACTAATGCTAAGAAGTGAATAATGGTAGCAAGTGAATTTCCCCACTGTAGGACTAATAGTCTATTATCTTCTATTCTAACCAGTGGCAACAAAAAGTAACCAGTAACTAATGGTAATTAGCAGCAACTTAAGTGCAGTGGGAACTAGATGTAACAGGTAACTAATGGTAACCAGTGGTAACTAAAATGAACTGGTCATTCTTAATTACAAGTGTTAAATACAAGTAATTACTCATAACTGGCCACTAGTGGTAACAAGACTTAAACAGTGGTAACTACTGGTCACTAGATATCACTAGTGGTAACTAGAAGTAACCAGTTATCAGTGATACTTGTAACTTTGGTGCTGTTCAGCGACTTTGCCAAGGCAAGGCAGCTTTATTTGTATAGCACCTTAGAACAGTATAAAACCGACCAAAGTGCTTCACAGAAATTAAAAACATTAAAAAATACACAACATAAAAATGCATAAGGACTAAAGATTAAGAACCAACACTACAAAGACTTTCATGACGAGTTACAAGCCATATCATAAAAATGGGTTTTTAAAACCACAGTGAAGAGGCCAACCTAATGCTTGGGCATAATGTTAGGCAGCACATTCCAGAGCCTAGGGGGCCGCTACAGAAAAATCCTTGGCACCTCTCAGAAAGCCCTCTTATACTTTGCTCACTGCCAAAGCAGTCGCGATATGCTGATGTCTGTGAAAAGTCCTGAAATGTCATGGAAACACAATAGCTGAGAGGACTGAGCCATTGCATCTCCCGGTCAATTTCCACCCTCCCAAAAATTACCCTGAAGGTCTGACAATGGAAACGTGCCTAATATCTAGCAGCAGCCTGAGCTTTGTGATAGAAAGTTAAGTGGCAGAGTGGGTGGAGCATGCATTTACAGGTCAAAGATAAGGAAAGGATCTGTAATCCAACTCAATTCAGATGGAACAAACCAAGTTCAAGACTATAGGTGAGGGTTGGAACATAAACTGACCGATAAATCGAGAGCTTTGCTTTCTGGCTCAGCTCTCTTCACCATGAAAAACCGGTACAATGCTTGCTCCATCTTTCACTAACTTGTGAACAAGACCTCATGACACTTGAAATACAATGCTTGGGGCAGGACCTCATCTATGACCTGGAGAAGGCATTCTTCCACATGTACATTAGTTTGGCTGCGGCCTTTCTGCGTGGAGTTGCGTGTTCTCCCCATGCATGCGTGGGTTTCCTCCGGGTACTCCGGTTTCCCCCACAGATCACAACATGCCCTATAGGTTATAAACTGTAAGTTTATCAAACCAGGAAAATGAAAAGGGAACAGAAAGAAGAAAACTCATGTTATCTGTCCCTTTTTAACTAAAATGACATTTTTACACTGAAATATATTGAAACTTTGTTGCCACTTGCCACGTTGGAGAAATGGATGCTTGGTTAATAAAGACATGAATGCATGCAGTTGTCCCCCAAATGCGGGGGGGTGGGGGGGGGGGGAATTTCTCAAGTAAATAGGAATATTTTGGAACAGATAGAGAAGTCTTGGCAAAAAGGACATCTTAATGTTTATTCTACCACTTAAAGAGAGGGGTAGCATATCCCAGACTCTTAACATCTTGTTTCAATCGATCTATGAGGGGCAAAAAATTATATTTATAAAGATCCTTGTAATTTAGGGATATCTAAATTCCTGGATATTTAAACCTTTTAGTATTAATTTTGAAAGGTGTGGAACCAAAGGAAGTACTTCTTGCAGCCAAATTAATTGGTATCAGTTCACTTTTCTGGATATTAATTTTATAACCAGATATTCTACCAAATCTATGCAAAACGTTCAGTATATGAGGGAGGCTGTTCATGGGATCACAAACATATAAAAGCAAGTCATCAGCATAAAGAGAAAGCTTGCACTCTTGACTACTGCGAGTAACCCCTTTAATATTAATATCCTGTCAGACAGCGAGCGCTAAGGGTACTATGGCTATTGTGAAGAGGAGCTGTGACAATGGACAACCCTGTCTAGTGCCCCTCTGTAGGTCAAATAAAGCTGAAATGTTATTTGTTCGGACAGCTGCTATTGGTGATGAATAGAGAATTTTAATCCAAGATAAAAACTTTTGACCAAAACCAAATTTTTCAAGATTATAAAACAGATAGTTCCATTCCACGCGGTCAAACGCCTCCTCCCCGTCCAACGATAGCACTGTCTCTGGTGTGGCTGATGTGGAGGGGTTATAAAGAATATTGAAAAGACGCCTGAGATTAAAAAACAAATATCTACCCTTCACGAAGCCAGTTTGGTCAGACGCTATGATCGCGGGGAGAGCGTGTTCTAAACGTCGGGCAAGCAATGTAGTACGGATTTTGACATCTGTATTAAGAAGCGATATAGGCCGATATGAACTACAATTACTGGGATTATTATCAGGCCGATATGAACTACAATTACTGGGATTATTATCATTCTTCAGAATAAGAGAAATGGTGGCTTCCCGCATAGTACGGGGAGAGAATTTGTTGAGAGGGATTCATTAGATACAGAGTAAAAGTGGGACAAGTACCCTAGAGAAAGTTTTAGAAAATTCAGATGGAAACCCATCTGGGCCCGGTGATTTTCCACTTTGCATGCTCTTCATAGCTGCAATCAGTTCTCCTGTTGAAATATTCTCTTCCATCCCGGCAATTGATTCTGGTTTCAACTGGGGAACGTCCAAATCATGAAAAAAGGAGTCTAGTATGGAATTCTCCTGGAGCGACTCCGAGGTATATAACCTTGAGTAGTAGTTGTAGAAACACCTGTTGATTTCAAATTGATCTGTGTGTTTTATGTTTTGCTCATCATTAACTTCCGATATATACTGGTTAGCAGTTCTCTGATGCAGCTGGTGTGCCAAAACTTTACCTGCTCTTTCCCCGTCTTCATAATACTTACGCCTGGATTTCAAAATCAAATTTTCTGCTTGGTGGGTCGAAAGGAGGTCAAATTCCATTTTGAGAGTCAGGCGCTGTTTGTGCAAAGTATCTGAAGGTGAGGCACTGTACAACAGATCTAATTTCAAAATTTCATCGGCCAATTCCATCAGTCAGCTTGTGCACTCCTTTTAACTTGCACAATATGAAATAACCTGTCCTCTCAAATACGCGTTTAATGATTCCCCAATTAAAGAGTATGAAACCCCTGGAGTCTGATTCTGGGCAAGAAAAAATTCAATTTCCGAATTAATAAAAGTCACAAAGCCATCATCAGAAAGAAGCAGAGGATCGAGTCTCCAAGATCGGTGACCCGAGGCTACCCCTGGAATGCGCAATGTCATAGTTAAAGGGCCATGGTCCGAAATGACAATAGGTTGATACTGACAATCTGATACATTTGGGAGGAGTTTCTTATCTATAAAAAATAATCTATTCTTAAGAATGACTTACGGACTGGCGAAAAAAAAGAGTAGTTCTTGGTATTAGGATTGTAAAAATGCCAAACGTCGGCTAAACCTGATGCCTGGAGAAAAAATTTAATGACCTCAGCTGACTTTGACCTGACTGCTGATTTGGGGAGCTGCGATCCAAAGCTGTGGAGAGAACGCAGTTCATATCCCCGCCCAAAATAACATGATGCAAATCCATACTAGGCAATTGTGAAAACACATTGTTAAAGACAACAGAATCATCCCAGTTTGGGGCATAAATGTTTACCAAGATAACTGGAACTCCATGAAGACGGCCCACCACCATCACACAACGCCCTGCTGGGTCAGACTCTACTTTAGACATTATAAATGGAACCCTTGTGTTTATAAGAATAGTAATCCCCTCGTCTTAAGAGTTGAAATTACAATGGTACATTTGTCCAATCCAACCCCCCTTCAACCTACCTTGATCAGCAACACGCAGAAGGGTTTCTTGGAGATAAACAATATCAGCTTTCAGATTAAGATGTACAAGAACATTTTTTCGTTTCACAGGATGGTTTAACGATTTGACATTCCAGCTAACAAATTTTACTGAGCAGCCCATACCCTGTCTTATAGTGATAACATTAGCCATTTTTAATTATAGAAAGAGTGAGGCAGTTCAAAATCCCTTTTATAACAGGATCTTGGACTTCACACCTGCAGCTCATGATATAACCCATTAATAGAGGCCTAGCGGGTACCCCAATAATCCCACCTCAGTCTTCAACAAGAACATGACGACCAAAACCCCCACCTTTTAATAGATCACACAAATGTGGACAACGAGAAACCACTAAATGAACAGCAATATGGCCCCAGCCCACTCTCCTTAACATGGAATGTGCATTAATATTACAGAACTCGAATTACTATTTGCAACAGTGTATGTCAGTCAGCATTAACCCACCTCCTCATCAATTGGGTGTCCACAGAACAGAGAAAGAAAACAGGAAGGAGGAGGGTGGCATCTCTGATAATAAAAATGTGATGAAAAGTATGATTATTGTCCTCCCGTGGGTTTGTCTGCCACAATGGTGCTCCTCACGTAGGCCATCGCCCTCTCTGGGTTCTGACACTCTCTGGTGTCCCCTTTGAACGGGATGTGGAGACGTGCAGGGAATAGTATTCCATAACGGACATCTCTATTGCCCCGCAGCGGATTCCTGAAGTCATTGAACACAGCACGGGCCTTAGCAACCCTTGTGGTTGGTCTGGAAAAATTGCAACCGGTTGCCCTCTGTAACGCAGCGGGCCTCGTTCCCGAGCATGTCGTAGCACATCCAAGCAGTCTTTGTGATAACGTAACTTTGCAATGATGACCCGGGGTTTGCCATTTGGCTTCTTTGGTGCAAGACCTCTGTGTGAGCGGTCAATCAGGATCTCTTTCTCCAACTGCTTAACTTCTTTCAACATCTTGGAAACTGAAGCAGCGGTGCTCGAGCCTGCTTCCTCTGCGATTCCCACAATACAAACATTGCACCGCCGCAGCCTCCCTTCGATATCTTCATTCTTCTCCTTAAGTTCTGTAACTTCCTGCTTCAGCTCAGCAACAGCTGTTTGCAACATGGTGACTTCATCAGAGCATGTTGTTAGCCCTTCCTCCACACTGACAACCGTGGCTTTAACAGAATCCACATCAGAGCCAACAGTCGATCCTTTAGCTCACCCCTGATTGCATTTAGCTCGTCAGATAAAACACTTTTCAGTTCAGACCTAATAATTAAAGCAACGTCTGCTCTCAGTGAGGTGACAACTTCCGCTTTCAGGGACTCTGCATCCATCTTTCCCTCCGGGGCCGGAGTGGGCATCTGGTCCATCCGAGATGGCGAAGGCTGCACCGACGAGCTAGCTCCCTCGCTAGCCTCTAGGCCTGTGTACTTGTATTTCCAGAGCTTACTCGCCATTTACCGAACGCCCACAGTCCAAACTTAAAATATTACTGTCTATAGAAGTTACAAATTTGTGCACACGTCGAATATGCCACACGAGCAAAATGAAACGGAGTTTTAGGAGTTTAGCTCCGTACCATGCGTCTTACTCCATTGCTGGCTCACTAGCGCCCCCCTAAATGTTTACTTTTAAAAACAAAATGTTAGTGTAGAGCAGTGAAATAGGCACCCATTGAAACATTTTCAAACTGCAAATGTTCTGGAAGTTGCTTATGCCATTCACTTGGATAGAAAAATATGTTTCATAATGGAAATAAACTAGTTATCAGTACAAACCAGTATACTGCACAGGCCTAGATGGACCCAGCTAATCGCTGGTACCTTTCTATGTATTAACTGGGTATTGTCCCATCCTCCCATGCAGCAGTGACCGCTAAAGGGCTCAGGTGCATGTTGGACTCACCTTCATGGTCTAAAGCAGCAGCAACACTGGTCTCAGTAGAGTCACAGCTTTCCTGCTCAACAGCTTGACTGGAATCAGCTGGAGTGGCTGGTGTGCTGCTGCTGCTGGCAGAAGTAAGTGTGGAGCTGTCGGCTGGATTTATTGGCACCTCTGACACCGAAGAGGGTTTTGTCCACTGGAGGGCCTTCTTCTACACACAGCAGAGCACAGAAGAGCAGCAGTTTAGAAACAGAACCCCAGCAGATATGAAACAAAGCAACTGAGAAATAACTGAACTGTCTACAAACACTGTGTCCAAAATCAGAGACTGCGTCCTTGAGGTAATCCTAATGTTATTAATGGATTATTATTGGTCAGTACAACATGTCGCGAGTTTACGTGTATACATCATCACATGTGCTTTAGAGAATCAAGGGGAATTTTTGATTTGGGACTCTGTGGAGCGACAGAAAACCCGCACAAATCTAAATCCAGTCCACATTCAATTTCACAACTCCCAGAACCTCCTCAACTCCCCGGTCATAAATGTCGTGTTGCCAGGGTAACCAGACAGCTCAGATAGGGCTGCACTGAGACATTTCCTAACAAAGCCGACTCCAAACAGAACAACTCCTTAACTGTAAATGACAACCCATTATTTAAACTTCACATATACGGAAACCTCTCCTGTGTCCTGCAACTTGTTTGGTTCTCTTACACTTCGGCAGCCAGCGCCTTGATCTTGCTGTCAATAGTTTATTTTTTCTCCAGGATTCCCCTGAGGATGTAATAAAATATGGTTAATTGAGGGCTATTCTTTATGTAAATGACTGAAGGGACACAAGCACCTGGTACGCACAGGTGGGACTCATCAACAGCTGGTTGCAAAGGAACATGCGTACGAGTGGCCACGTTTTATAAATCGGTATTTCGACTGTTGGTAAGAACATTCTAAACTTCATTCATGGGAAGAAACAGGAATATTCCTACAGAGCGTTTGAATGAGGCCCCTGGAGTGAGGATGCTGCTCCACAAGGCTGCAGTGCCACGGCAAAATGTTTTATTGTCGTCGTCGTCGTCTTCCTCCGCTTATCCGGGTCCGGGTCGCGGGGGCAGCATCCCAACTAGGGAGCTCCAGGCCGTCCTCTCCCCGGCCACCTCCACCAGCTCCTCCGGCAGGACCCCAAGGCGTTCCCGGACCAGATTGGAGATGTAACCTCTCCAACGTGTCCTGGGTTTTATTGTGTAATTCACAAATGCTTTAATGTTTGAAAATAATTATTGCCAAACTGTACAAAAGTAGATATGCCATGGTATTAGCGTCTTCAGCAGCGTTTTACAGAACATTTAACTGAAATACATTAAATTCTACTGATCATAGTTCAACTGGATAAATTTAGATGTTATTTTAACTAAGATGAGAGATCAGGGCTGCAACAAACGAATATTTGGATTATTGGTGAATTGGATGGGGTCTCAACTCGATTAATCGAGTCATCTGATTAAACTGGGAAAAAACTGTTAGGGAAACACTTTTCTCTGTCTTTACTTTAACAGAACGTGATTGTGCTCTGCTAACAGAGTTGTTGAATGTTAAAATAAAGTTAAAGTTATGGGGGTGGGGGCTGCGGGCGGGCCTGTGGGCTTGCCGCTGTTATCTCCCGTGACTGTCGGCTGCTGGTTGTGGCCCCCCGGGATGATCCTCTGCGCCTCTCGAGAGGGGCAGGGGCTTTTCTGGTTGCAGTCTCCTGAAACAATGTTGATTTTATATTTCCTCATCAGACTGACGCAGCGACAGCTTACTCTAATTGTTTTGTTGTGTGCCTCAGTTTGGAGTTCAGGAGATGGTTTTGACCAGGACCACACCCCTAAATGAAGCAAGTGCCATGTGATTGGTTGATTAGATAATTGCATTAAGGAGAAGTTGAACAGGTGTTCCTAATAATCCTTAAGGTGAGTGTATGAGCCATCTAATAATAAAGACAAGAAGATAGCCTAACAAACAACTTTTAATTCACTTTGTAACCTGTTGATGCAAATGCTACAGTCAGATGGAGGTAGGAACCTAAAAACAAAAAGAAGTTTTACACAAAAATGACTTGTGTTCACAAGAGGCATGGTGGCAAGGTTAAAGCACTTCTTCCAGTCTTAACTCAGAAAATGGCAGGACATGCCAAGGTACGCGTCTGTAGCGTCTGGTGGTCTGTGACGTCAGCAGTCAGGGACCACTGACAGCTCTGAGTAAAGATAAAAGATATTACAGTTAATTTATTTACCAGCTTGATAATTCTGTTATTTCAAATAATGTAGGCTAAGATTTAACAAAAAGAAGATGTTTTATGCTTTCAAAATATTAGTTACTTGATTGCTCAGTCAGCAACCATTTTATTTTATCATAAAGGCATTTTATTCTAATGTTTAATGTATTTGTGTCCAGAGAGAAAAAACGCACACACACATATCTTAAAGGTTGTATCGTATTTCTTTTCCATCGTGGTGGCGAAGTGGGATCAGCCTGGTAGGTAGTTGTCATGGTAACCTGGGTTGATCATCTCTGACACCTTGATACCGACCATGGACAGGAGTCTGGTGACCAGCTTGCTCACGAAGCCCTCGGTCAGGACGTTAGCTTGCTGAGGTGTGCTCGTAACAAACTGCTCCACGGAAGAGGAGCACTTTTATTAACGCTGTAACGTAGCGGGATGAAATAAATCATTCGTGTTTGTGATTAGAGCAAAAACACGTGACATGCAAACGTGTTCTAAAGGTGATAAAATCACCACCTCTACTGGTGTTGCTGCAGCTATAAACACATCTGTTGATGTTAGCAGCTAACAAGGTAGACTTACCGAGGCGACTCTGTTCTCCCCGTGACGTGCTTCATTCTAAGGTGCTCGTGCATCGCCGATGTGCTCCCGTGAAAGGAGAGTTTCACTTTGCAGAGTTTGCACTCTACAGGCCTTTCTTTGTCTTCGTTTACGTTTGTTTATGTGGCAGACGCTTTTATCCAAGGCAACATACAGTTTATAACCTGTAGGGCATGTTGTGATCTGTGGGGGAAACCGGAGTACCCGGAGGAAACCCACGCATGCATGGGGAGAACACGCAACTCCACGCAGAAAGGCCGCAGCCGAGTTTCGAACCTGCAACCTTCCTGCTGTGATTAAACAGTAATAACAACTGTGCACCATGCAGCCTTTGTATAATGCTCCCAAACCTTTGAGCTACATTGCACTCAACATGTTTTCTTTCTTTGGTGATGAAGGCTGAGCTGGATGGCCACCACTGCGCATGCGCCTCGGAGATAAAGCGGTGGCTCACCAGAAAGGCAGGAAGCAACCGCCGAACGTGCCGCAGCAGGCGAGATTAAAAAACTTTACAAAATAAACAACGCGTTGACTATTAAATTAGTATTTGACTATTTTGTTTGTCGATGCAGTGACGAGTTGACTAACCGTGGCAGCCCTAAAGGCAAGGCAGCTTTATTTATATAGCACATTCCATACAGAGGCAATTCAATACGCTTTCCATAAGCAAGATTAAAATAAATATGACAGAAAATACTATTTTAAATTTTAAAAGAAACAAAGTTTAAGTTAAAGGGTGAGCAGATACAGTGCAGAAGGTGCAGCATAAGAACATTTATTCAAAGGCTGATGAAAACATGGTGTTCAATTTTGATTTAAAAGTTTCTAGAGTTGGGGCACACGTGTGTGTGGGGTTGGGCATCGATTCACTTTGAATGATTCCGATTCCAATTCTGATTCCTCGTTTCGATCCCGGTTCCTATCGATTCCTGATTCGGATTATTTCAAGACACGCCATGCTTTACATTAGCCAGCTAACCATGGGTCCTACTTGATGAAATAATCAACTTCAACATGAATTTTAACTATGAACAATAACATCACCTTCATTTAGACCAGGGTCTGGCAACCTTTTCCCATGAAAGAGCCATAATTACCCAATTCACACAGTAAAGACAACACTGGGAGCTGAAGCAGCCACGGCGTTGTGGGCGGGGCCTACCCTCAGACAGCAGAGAGCTGCTTTAACCGATCACAACAGTTGACAGCAACCAACCCCAGTCGCTCACCTTCCAACAGAAGATAATAGATAAAACAGTTTGTATTAAACTGACCCAGAATGTGTAGCTCGTCTGTGTCGACAGTACTTAGATATTTTTCACCCTGTCAGTGGTTTTAATGTTGAGCAGGTGACGCTTTTTGAGGCGTCACACATAACTTAAGAATATAAATTCAGGCTCTGTCTTGTTGGACTGTTGTAATTAAACTTTGTGCTGAACTAAACTTTACATTAACTCATTCACTGCCATTCATTTGCATGTTTTACTGTGTGGGCGTCGGACGAGCCCCCACACCGAGAGAACAAACATCTCAGCTCTAAAGCCGATCTTCATCCGCATACGTCACACGTCACGTGATCAGGAAGCAGAACATCCATGTGTTAGGAGATCGTTTTGGGCCGCTGCTGTAAAAAAAGAGAGGCGCGAACCGGAAAAGCTTCTGCCGATCACAATTCAACAACGGATTATGAAAGAACGGATAACGCTCGAAACCTGCGGATTCTTCCTGATGTAAGAGGTGAGTCTACTCTTTGTTTTGGTAGTTTTGGCGTCAACATCATCCTAGCGTGCAACGTTCTGTCACTCTTAGAAAAACTGTAAAAATGGTAAGGAACGCTGGCAGCAAAGGGCTTTACTGATCAGGAAACGGCTGGCAGCCAGTGAGTTAAACATTGTTGAAAAGGTAAGAAAAGGATCCAATCTGTTATTTTCTTCCCTCGTTTACACTGACGGGGACAACGGCGTGGTGCGCGGCTCTGGTGGTAATCAGGTTTAATGTTCCTGTTTGCAATCATCGTCACAAGAAGGCAAAACAGTTCAATGACAGGGTTCACAATGACCGGATATTTCCCGTATTTATTTTGACAGAGAAACCTCAAGCCTGCAGATGCGCTGACATTTTAATCGTTACGCACATCGTGGAGGTAGCTCCATCAATCAGAACATCTGAGCTGGACGCTGTCAGCGCATGCGTAAGGTGGACAGCGAGCTGAAGACGTGTAGAACGGAGGCTTGGAGCACGTTGCAGAACCAGAACCATGCAGGAAGATTCTGTGTTTTCTAAACCCGGTCTCTCAGAGACTTGTCACTTAAAAAAGGTTCCCGGATTATGAGCCTTTGGCTGAATAGCGCTTGTTCCTGTCTCCAACACTGTGACACATCCATGAGCCTGTCTGAGAAAGTCCAGAACCTCACATCCTCTTCAGCTCAGAAAGCTCCTACAGAGACATCTGATTACGCACAAGCAGGTGACCTGTCAACCGTTGGACCTGTTCAGGTTTATGCAGACATATTTTAAATTTAGAATTGGCTACAGATGAAAAATGAATTCAATAAAATAAACATTACAAATACATTGTAATTAAATATTCATTAATTAGTTTACAAGCAGAGACCCGCATCAGCTGGATGAAAGAGCCGCATGCAGCTCCAGAGCCGCGGGTTGCCGACTCCAGATTCAGACAAAAACATGTTTTGGAGACAAAAGAAGACGACTTGCAGCACAACCAGTGTGTTTGTTTCTGACCACAACCAAAGTGTGGAAGCAGCCTCTGGGATGAGAGGCTAAATGTCTCCAACATATCCAGAAACGTCCAGCTGTTTCCAGCTAAAACTCTCAGGATGATCATGTCCAGGATGACTGAGAACTACACCTCCATGCTGCAGCAGCTTCAGTCACAACAGGAAGTGAAGCTTAAACGTAGCTGCTGTCAGTAACAAGCTAACAGGTTTAAACATTAAAACTCAACAGAAATAGTTCATAAAGGAAATTAAAATGTTCACAACTTTGTGTGTGATTTATTATAATAATAATAATAATAGTTATTATTATTATTATTATTATTATTTATGGTGGCAGAAGCTGGTGTGGTCCACCACAGAGAAGCTGCTCTAGCATGATGACTTTAATTATTCTACAGGTTATTGTTCAGCCTTCTGACGCTCACACACACACACACACACACACACACACACACACACACACACACACACACACACACACACACACACACACACACACACACACACACACACACACACACACAGAGTGTTGGTGACTGCTGACGCTCCGTGTGTGTTGTTATTTCTGCAGTGAGACAAACTCACCTCACACCGTCCAGAGTTTGTTCTTTAAAGCTTCTATTAAATCCACCGTGTTGACGTATTTAACACGTTTCCTCTACGCTGCAGGAGTTAACGTTCATGTTACGAGTAAAAGTTCAGCAGACGCGTTTGTTTATATCTGGGTGGGGGGAGGGGCGGTGCTGCACACAGACAGCTGCTGTGATCAGCTCTGAAAAGCGTTGATCACAATTTGCAGATCACGTTAATTTTTCACGGAACTTGGCCGCAAATTCCTCTTCCGTTGGCGTTCTAGGAATCGAAAAATAAAAAACTGAGCGATTCCGGGAAAAATGAACAGTTGGAACCGGTTCCAATCGATGCGCGATGCCCAACCCTACATCTGAGGTCATGAAGAAGCCGATTCCACCTGTGAGCAGCATAGTAGCTGAAAGCAGCTCCACCCTGTTTGGTTCTGGCCAGCTTATTGTTTCCTAAGCCTTTTTTTAGGAAGACCATTCAAAAGAGCACTGCAATAGTCCAGCTACAAACTAACAACTTCTGTAGCACCAGTGCTACAAGCTTAACATGTTAATGTGCAGCTCTGTTAGTAATGAGTACTAAACAGCAAGATAAGCAGAATTAGCAGCCTGAGCTGATACCATGGGAAAGTTCAGAGACGAGTACCTTGAGCGTGAAAAGGCTCATCCGTCCAGGAAGCTTGAAGAAGATGCTGTTCTTGACCCGATCCCCTCGAACCTGGGAGTGTAGCATGGTGACGAGGCAGGCCAGAGGAGCTGTCCCACTGAAACACACACACACACACACACACACACACACACACACACACACACACACACACACACACACACACACACACACACACACACACACGATAAAGAGCGACAGTGTTTGGAATTGTTCCGTTTAGGTTCAGATGAATCACGTGAGACGGTAAAATGAGCCACAGGATCTGGTCTGACTCTGCTGGACCTTCTGGCATTCACAGCAAATGAACAAAAGCAGTATAGAGCAGCAGCCAGCTCATGCTGGTGTGTTTCAGAGATAAAGCATCTATAATCTGATGGTAACCAGTAAGCTGTTTTCAGAGACAGACCAGCTCCAGCAGGTTTAACTCTAAACTAGCAGCAAACATCTAGTCTGTTGGCCTCTGAGACAGAAAAATATGAAAGCAGTTAAATATTTAGTCCTTCAACCTACCTTCTGTTCAGATGAAGCAGCAGCCCCAGCAGGTCATGGAAAATGAAACAAATCACTTATGAACACATGAACGTCGTCATTCACTCAAAACATCAAGTGACTAAAAAGAATGTGCAAAGATGTGAACAGGCTAATGTGTTGCAGGTGGAGGACGAGGTGCTGACCCTCGTCCCAGCAGCTTCACAACGTCCTGGCACCCACATGAGAACCAGCGACCTCATCAAAGCTGCACTTACCCAGCCCATAATCTCCTGCTCCCACCGTCAGGTATCGTCTGTCCTGCAACGCTCCCACTGGGAATGTCACATCCGGTACGATACCGATATTGCAGGCTTCGGTATTGGCCGATACCGATATCCTCACAAATCATACATACTTTTACCTACTCCGTGGTGTGAAATGTATGAAAGGCTGGAGCACGTGATGTTACTCAACAAGAGTCAGCAACACTAAGTGTGAAAAAAATGATTTATTTTCATTAACCGCAGGTTGCATGAATGTAAACCTTAAACATAATGTATTTATTAAAAAATAATAATAAATTAAGAGACTGAAAAATATCTTAGGTAAACAAATAAGGCATCTTTTTAAAGTATAAAATACTAATTCAAGCTCACTTCAGTTATTTTCTAATTTCAACAAATGACATGAACTGCTGAGGGCGGGGACATTAGAGACAAAACAACACGTTCCGTTTACCAACTGCTACGAGTCCTACGTTTCTACTTCACACTGCCAGAATCCTCATGCAGTGTTTTGTGATGCTGCTTTTGACGCACAACGAGGCAGGACGTATGAAACTTCCCTGCTTCTGTTCCAACACGGGAAACTCGTGCATGGCAAATGTTGCACTGAGCCACACGGTCTCATGGACTTCAACAAAAATGCTGCCAGGGTTGACATTGCTCCTTTGCTAGCATGCCCTCTTCAGATCATGTGGGATTTGCATGCTGGATCTGGGAACAGACTGCTTATATTGGAGATTTTTGATGCAGTTTGATATAATCCAATACAGCGCTTTTGATCCAATATCAAAATACTTCCGACATCGATATGGTAACAGGACATCCCTAGCTCCCACAGTACCTACCTACATTGATTCCCCTATATAGGCTCAGCCGTGGTGCAGCGCCACGGCTGAAATTCCAGCGCTGCGCCTACAAGAGCCCTGGCTCAACATCGACCCCTGGAAGCAGAACAAGCAGCACCCTAATGCACCTTTTATCATAGGAGAAGTTGGTACCCTTTAGTACTCCCCAAGATGCACAGAAAAGTCTCTTGCAGCCTTTGTGAACATCAAACAGGAGGTTGGCCATTTTGGATTAAAGCTGTGATTTTGACACCATGTTGGTCATTTGTAGGGTGAGTTTTTGATTTTACTACCAGTCATTTGTCACCCAATCATCTCAAGAATTGTGTGCGATTGCTAGAGCTGTAGCGAAGCGTCGATGACGTCGACGGCTCGATTCTAAAAATTTGTCGAGGTCAGATCCGGAAGTCAACGCTCCGCGCCCACTTGTTGCATCCCCAGGAATTTGTAAATAGAGGAGGAATCTGCCTGTTTTTCCTCTAGTTCGCCCTCTTCTCCGCCTTCACTAACATCTCCACCAAATACCGAAGACCCGGAACAACGTCCGTCCACTACTAGATTCCTTTCCTGTTTTGCCCGCCTTCGTCTCCCGGCAACGGACAACAACTTCTGGGGTCAGATGCGCTGCTTCGTCTCCACCGCAGATGTAGAAAATCACCGGGAGCGTTTCTCCCTTCATAAAGGAGCTTCTTTCAGACATCAGGAGAGCTGTTTTGGTGGTAGCAGTCTCTCCTCCGTGCTGGTCTGTTTGCTGCTGGGTGTTTTTGGTTTATTTAAACTTGGTAACTTGAACTTAATGTTGGTAAAGCTACTGTTAGCATTTTCGCTAACAGCTTCTTGCGTTTGGATAAGCTGTTACGTTTTGGTTTAGAGTTCATCTTTTTTGTGGTGCAGATCTCCCTTTTATTACATTTAGAGTGTTGTGGGTTTTCGGTTTAGTGTAAAATATCACCTTGAGTTTGGTTTAACCGCCCAGTTTAGAGTTTGGACCTTTGGAGATCCTTATTTTGGTCCAAAACCCAATAATCTTTGCCCAGTGGGACATCTCTAGTTATTTGTACTTTGTTTTAATTCCCCACAGGCAGAATTAGTTTTATTATTCCCAACCTGTGGATGGAAAGATAGTGTTTTTGTTGTAGTTGTAAATAAAACTGGTCATCATTTTAACTTTTAAATCCCATCTTATAGACCCTTTTACTGCCTACGTCATCAAAAGTTGCGCGCGCAGCCTGGCAACGAGAGTGAAGACTTCCTCATTCACACTCGATAGTAAAACAGCATTTTAAACCCTTTGTTTTGAAGTTCTGAGCACATAAAAATGTCGGGCTGTTGCGTGTATGGATGCCAGAATCGCTTCTCTTCAAGCAGTGGACTGAAACTTTACAGAATTCCGAAGGGAGCACATCCATTTCAACAAAATCGGAGGCGTCTGTGGCTGCAGGCCATCAAAAGGGTTGGTGAAAACTGGACTGAAAACACGATCCGAAATGCTCGAGTTTGTAGCGCCCATTTTATACCAGGTAAGGTAATTATTAAATGACAGAATTAAACAAATTTATATGCTTTATTTCATGCTTCAAATTAACATTTCATTCTAATTCATCTGTATTTTCCCACTGCATATTAGTATAAACTGTATTTCTCTAAAATTAACACGATTGTACTCTGAGCACGCTAAAAACAGAAACCTATGCTATACTCACCCTGCCATGCAGGTACGTAGTTCTCTGGTTTGTTTACTACGACCCAAGCCTCGTACGTAGCAGTCTTGTGTCCTTGTCTTTGGCTAGGAAGGACTTCTGCCTTCAAGACGCAAAACTCAGAGTCTATGTGGTGATATTTTACTTTCTGTACGTGACCACAGACAACATAGTTGTATGCATCTAACCATTTGTATGCCCGTAGCTTCTCACGTGTGTACTTACTGGGCCTCTCCACTAAAAACGTGTATATATATATCGGGCCACTGGATATCTGGCCACGCACCTACATCTTCCACCCGTTCCGTAATGCCACAGGGATCCGGGAGTCTGTTGCCATTCGTTGAAGTGAGTTTAATAATATAACATTCAAGATTTGCCGGTGATATCCCCGCAGCGTAGCTTGATAAAGCCTGACACAACGCCATTCTCTGTTGCCAAGCTGTGCGCGCATTCTCGCTGACGTCATATTGTTTAGAAACAGTAAAAGGGTCTATTGCCCCTTCCTTTTTGCACACGAGCCAAACTCCCCAGGAAGGGTCGTAACACCACTCGCCTCACGCACATAAGTGACCAAAACAAGCAGCATGGAGACACTCCGTCTCCAACCAGCTCTCAGGCAGCAGCCTGCACTCCCACGTTCTACACGTCACCTAGGGCTGTGCGATATGATGAAATATTTTGCCTGGACGATAGAAAATGTCTATCGTTTTATATGAAGCCCTTTCGTTTACGTCATGGTTAGAAGTTTTATGGCAGTATTTTACATCAAAAATCACTTTACGGCATGCCCCTGCACACTGCAAAGCAAAACAAACAAGCATGGATGAAGACGGTAGCGCACGCATTCTAAACCAGCTTCAAGTAGATGACCAGCTAACCCAAACCACTTTAAGTCAGGATCTCTGCTGGATTTCTACTCTTCTCTTAAGGAGGAGAACTTTCCAAACCTGAGGAGACATGCTCAGAAGATGTTGGTTCTATTTCGTCTAGTCTTAGCCCTTAAGCTAGCTGCTATTGGAAGGATGATCTCCGCATCAGCCAATCATGAAGAGCTTAAATGTACGCCCACCAATAGTGGGCCCCCTCGTGGTATATAACTGCAGTGACCCCACTGCTCACCCCTTTTTCTCTTCATGCCAAGCTTGAGAGCTTTATTAAAGAGCAAATATTATCTCAAAAGAGCAAATTATCCGAAGACGACTTACCAGCCATGTCCAGCGACACCAGACCCTGCCCGACCTGCCAGACGGGCTCCATTTCCAGCGGCGACCTGCACGCTAAGTGTGAGGTCTGTCTCGGGGCTCACCACGCTGGCTTGGCCTTGACCCCGCAGGCCTCGTGCCCGTTCTGTGCCGCTCTGCCCGTGGCGGAGAAGATTCGCCGGGTCGAGTACTTCACTCCCGCCGCCGACGAAGAATTTCCGGTGGCTGACTCCTACCCGCTGGACAAGGCTTTGGTTTTCTTCGACGCCGGTCAGGAGCCGGCTGGCTTCAACCGGCTGGATGACGTCACTGACAGCGAAAACTACGATGAGGCGGCGTCCCTCCTAGACATAACGGAGGTCGACGAGCTTCGCTCAGCGGGTCCTTCTGCCCCAGTGGCTTCTCGCTCCTCCCTGCCAGCAGTAAGAGCACTGCTCCAGGAGCTGCCCGCCATCATTTCTGCGTCAGCAGCCCGCAAGGGGCTAGCTGTGCCAGAACCGGCCCTGCCTGAAGCGGATGATTTGGCGGGAATTTTCGGGGCAACTCAGACACGCTGTCCAGACCCTATCTGGCCGCGCTTCCCCGCTGC